AAATAGTCTGTTTGACACAACAGATTCATTTTCTCTATGGCTTTGATTAGCTAAACAGAGATTTTAGCCTTCTGATTTCCTTTTTTCCCAGTTATTTTTATGTCTTTTTTTTAGAACTGGTCATAAAGAAACAGAGTCTTTAGACAGAAAGAGTCTTCAAGTGCTATCGAGTTTCTTATCTTTTCTTAGCTTTGGACAGAGTGATAACACAACATGAAAGGAGGCAGATTTTTTAATGTTTGGATGCTTACAAGAGAGTTGTAATGGTTCCATGAACACTTTGGCCTAGTTTGCACTCTGATGCTTATCCTGTAACAAAGTTAACCTTTTATGAAAACATAGTTTTACATGTTCATACATTTAGTAATCTCTAATTACATAACAAAATGTGTTTTGTAACTTAAGATGATACAGGTCACCTGCCACATGACTGCCACACAATTATATGGGGATTTATCATCTCCATCTAGTGGTGCATTGTGGGGGCACGCTCTTAACACAGAATTGTCAGAAGTTATATCTGAAATATCAGTCAGAAAATCTCAAAGTTAATAATGTTATCAGAGATATTAGAGGGATTTTACTCTAGTGTAGATATGAGGATATTAAACACATGGAAATAGATGCACAAACACACTCTGGTTATCCACAAAATGTGCTGCTGTCCCCATGGCAACTGTAGAAATATCATATTTGCAACCACGGCTTCCTTCATTCTAACTTCTTCGAAAGAGCTGCCATACAGCCTCAAATCAGGAAAACAACTACATCACAGGTGAAAAGGGCACTCGCAGTTGGGATTATCAGGCATGCCTTTCTTGTTGCACTGCACTCAATTCAATAAGATAGAACTGATGAAAAGAAAGTCAAATGTGGGGGGGGCATGTAGATCGCAGCTTAAGATTGCTGGATCCGAGCCCAGAGCTTATAAGAGCCGAATGCGTCCGTCGTCACTTTAGAAAACCCAGCTCATGCCAGAGGGCTGTTTTTCTGAGCCTGAAAGCAGCATGCCCCACAGTTCCTTCCTTTTTGCTCGCTGGCTGAGACAACAAATGCACATCTCCTGCCAGTGACATCATCAGGCAGCCTCCCATCGACCTGCATATGTCATGACCATGTGGTGAACATCCACCGAAGTGGTTCACTGTCATTTGCACTTGAATTATAAGCAAGTTGCATTTATTATTGTTGGGCATTGTTTTGCTTTTTTTATTGCAAATCATTCCCAAGCAATTGTTGCCAGTTCAGACTCTCAACAGGCTCTCAGGCCAGAAGACTAACAATGGACCAAATGTTCTGAAGTTGTTTCTTGGCTAAAAAAAACAATCTCCTCCTACAATATGCAACTGAAGTAAATCCATTCCTTAGGATTCTTAGATACTAAGAAATTGGTGAGAATATGACTGTGTGTAGGGATTTTGTTAACACAATGAATACTAACAATAATCCTAACAATGTGGATTTGTCACATTGGAAGAAATACCCTGATTTAAGATATCAAACGAGATTCTTATCTAAGACAGGACAACTTAGCAGCATGTAGTAAAAGTAAGAAGCAATTCTGTTCTAATGTTCAAAATGAGTCCTTGAGAAACCTTTTCAAGACCATCTCCAAGTTATTTGACCTTCACAGTTATGTTTACCTTGCATTAAATTTCTTAAGTCATTATTAATCAAAAATCTCAAATGTGATAGTATAATTTTTGTTTCTGCAATTAATAAAATGTCATTCGGCTCAGTTCAATCTGTTAAGTGAAGAAGCTTTCACTTAATTTAATTAATTAAGCATTTCACCATGCGTTTCACCATTCGGTTTTGGAACAAGTGGTTGATAGATGCATCATTAATTCTGTTTTAAGCTGCACTTCTGGCCACCTGATGAGATGTAAAATTCTGACTTTTTTTACATTTTGCTTCTCATAAACTCATCACATATTTTAAAAGTCATTTTTACTTTTTTTTATATATATCAAACTGAGATATAGACAAAGCAAAGAGATATAGACTTTCTTAAATGCAATAGATATCTTCAAACTCCATAGATGTGTCCTTCATTATTACACTGGGGGGGAAAAAATCTACTTGAAAAGACAAAAAAAGACGACATCATTTGTAATGTGTTGCGTCATGCCCAGCTATTCAATTCAACAGATTCCAGTGCACAAGGCCCGCCTCAACCCAACAACTGGCTGCTTTCTATTAGCTACTGAGTTGGATGAAATCCACAACTTGAGTCTGGAGTGAGGCCAAACAAAATATTTATTAGTATGAATAAGATTAAACCTTTACATCATGAATTTAGGTAAGGCACAGCAGCTATTTTCTCTTTAAAAGAAAACTAATCATTTGTTGTTTTTATAGAATTTGTCATAAGTCTGATCATGCCATAGGATGCTGTACACAGAAGTGTCACAGCATTAGAAAGGATTTATAATGTGTCCCTTTCAAAGTATGCATGTGATATCTCTTATTTAGGAATAATAGAGAGAGAATAGAGAAAGACGCACTGCAAAGCCACCCCATGTCTATTTCTAAACTATTCACTCTGCTGAAAAGAGAAAATGGAACGGTTTCAAAATGGACTAAATCTAATGCACTTGGAAGCATATTTTTCCCAGAACACGGGAAATATTCTGTGATGGTGCTTTTTGTGCTATTTTCTCCTCCACTGCCAGGAAATTGTCCTTGTAAGTGAAAAGCTCCTGTGAGGCTGCTTACCTGAAAGAATGGGGTCAACCTTGGAAACAAAGGACCAAGTACCAACCAACCTGTTTGTTTAGTTTTTTTACTCTCTGTTGATGGAAAGACTTTCCCATTCCAGAGCCTGTAGGATAACTGCGAGGTGTTGAATTCTCTTAGGCCTCAGTCACTCTAAGACCTTTTGCCATTTTTGCCATTTTTGCCATTTTTCAGATCAGATGATGGCTAATATAATTATGGGGTGAGGACAACAGCAGCAACTGGCATATGTTGGTGTCGTTTGTTGTGATGCTGTTTCCACGGAGATCTATTGGATAATCATGTCAGGATGTGTTAGGCTGAGTTTGAACCTTAAATCTCCATTATTTAGCTTAAACACCACAATAGATATTCTAACACCCTGGACGGAGTTTGAGAAGTGTACTTGTTTATTGTAAACTTATTCAGCAGGATAAGCCAAAAGAAGAACAAACAAGTACAAAAAATTGAAGCCTGGATATAAACCAGGAGTAACCTCTGACATTTCAGCTGTCAGTGTCTGACTCATTCAAAACAGCACTAACAGACTTACTTGTCTGTTATCAGTAATTGTGTTAGTATCCATGAGTGTTCCACAGTCCCATGACTGCTTAATGGAGAAATGACCACGTCAGCACAAAATAGGAGCCATTGTGCTGTCACTGGACCTACCTCATGTAGAAACAGGGACTGTCATGTGGCAGACACAACACCTCAACAGCTGTGCATTTCCCCATTTTGAATTGCTCAATGGGTTCAAAACAGTAAAGCAAACCTCTGGTCATTCAGTCTCTTTTTAAAAGATCAAAATTGTCCTTGACATCACATGACCTCCAGACAGCTCACAATCGTGTGCATATTAAAACGAAGGGAACACTGAGAAGGTTTTCTGACATTTTGACACATGGGGAGAGGAATCACTGGCAGGCAGAGGAGTGATGAAGTGAGGCGGAGCCCACTGGAGTGATTTGGGGCTATAAAAGCCTGTTTCTTTGTGCTTGGCTAACATCCGACACACTGACCTAAACAGCCCCACAGCCTGCTTCCTGCTCCTGTATACTGCTGGGGATTGCAAACAAGAAAAGGTGACTCTTGCTTTTATTAGTATCTATTGCTGTTTACCCTGGTTGCTACTTTACACTTATCAGTGCTTAAATGTAGCTATGCTGTTTAATTTAAAGAACTGGTTCGTTACATCTGTCTGATAGATTATTGTTGCTGACTTTAGATTTTTAACAATGAGGAATCTGCCTCTAAGCAGCCTGTTACTAGTACTGAGTGTAAAGCTACTTAAAACTACTCTGCATGCAATTTCAGGCTCATGATTGTTCTATTTTTCTAAGGAGATGCTTAGGACACAGTAAGTGATTGTCTTTTTGCAAAACTGCTCACAACCCACCCAACAAAATCAACACAGGCATCATGACTAAAGGTTAAAGCTGCAATAAATGTCGTGATTTAGAAATTTTAAAAACAATTCTGAAAGTGATATGCAAATCTAATGACACATCTGAATGCTCAAGATTAATATAAGTGTCCAAAAATGCTAAATAACATAAATACATTCAACTTGATGCTTTACATCCTTCAGTTATTGCATGGAAATGTTTAATCTTTTAATACTCAAAGGAACTGTATGACAAATTGCAAACTGGAATTTTGGAAGTTATCCTGAGCACATGCATGGATTTCTATGACAGAGTCATGTTTGTTATCAATACGGAGTAATCTGAGGCTCCAAAGATTCTATCTAATATTAGTTTTTGTCCATGATTCTTGTGCACTGATATATCTCCTGATTTCCACCATCTGTGTATGATATTATGCACTGTAAATTATTAAATATTCAGTTGTTTTCAGATGTAGAAAATAACTTAAATTACTTTAGAATTTCTAGAGGTATGCTTTTTGCAGAACGTCTGCCTTTCTTTACCTCTGTGAGACTCTGCCTCCCTAAGGTGCTCTTTTACACACATTGATTATGATCAAAATTAATCTAAATGTTTATGTTTTGCATGTTTTGCAAGTGCCATATTTTCCCTTCCTTTTTCTGCCTGTGCCGAGGAACACAGTCAAACACCTTGGCAGTTTAAGTACCAGCTTTCATGTCTGCTAGTACTGTAACAAAAAGCTGTAGAGTCCTCTAGTGGTCACCTAAGGAACTGCTTCCTCTCTCCTCCTAAAAACTTTGTTAGTCTTTTTAAACTGAGACGTGATGTAATATTTATATATAGAGAAGTGAAAGATCATTAAGGGAATTTATTCTTGTTCCGGCAGGCAGCATGGATGTAAGTACTTCATCTAATCCTCAGCTCCCCACACTGGTAAGAATGACTAAATTCACTGGACCAATTTGTCCTCTAAATATCAATGCTTAACTCTGTGCTTATGTTTGTAACTGCTAGTTAGTGTCTTCCATCCTGTCCACCCTCTCTCTTCCACGTATCTCTCTTGTGGCTCCTGATCCCTCTCTTTCTCCACCCTCCCCTTCTCCTCCTCTGTCTCAGCATGCTGACGCTCTGTGTGGCAGCTGCCCGCCCTCTGGCTCTGTCCCACAGACTAGCGGCCTTTGGCCCACTCTTCCAGCATCCGGAGCTGGGTTTCCTTCGTGGCCAGGGCAACCCACCCAGCCTGGACCGTGCTGGACCGGCCAGGCAAACGTACCCTGCTGGACCACAGCACAAGCAGCTCCTGTCTCTGTTCCCGCGTCGGTTTCAGTTACAGCACCCCCTCAAGTTATAGCACCGGCCCCAGCCCCGACCATGGTCCCAGCACCAGCTCAAGTTCAAGCTCCCACAGTGCAGCATCCATGTCAGCCTTGTTGGCCGGGCACCCAGTACCAGCCTGCACAGCCACCAGCTCCCATGCCAACTCAGGCTCCAACTCCGGTTCCTGCCAGCATCCATCCAAGTGTACCCGGCTGGCCGGCCCACCCTGGTTGGCCTTACAACCAAGGACAGTCAGGATGGCCTGGACAGAACCCATCTCTCATGCCTCAACACTGGCTTCCACCAACATCTGGGCCTCTGGTGAGTTAAACACGAGCAGCCAAGTGTTTGTGTGGTATATTTCTACTGATTAGTTGGAGAACTTAACCTCCACTCATCTCTTCACTTATCAGAGCGTGCCATACAATTTAAACCTGGCCCGAGGTGTGTATGACAAAATGATGATGACAATCATGGCCAATGTGAAACCTAATGCAAAAACGTAAGTTTACGTGTACGTCTGCACATCTGCCAGACCTGCCCCAACTCTTTACATTTATGTCAGAAGCTACATTTTCATCTTTATGGTGTTGTGATCAATTTAACACATGACATTAAAACAAATCTTTTATGGGATAGAAAAAGGGCATAATCAGATCGCTCCCCCTCAGGTTCACAGTGAACTTCCTGAGAGGCAACGACATTGCCTTTCACATCAACCCCCGCTTCAGTGAGGGAGGCAAGCAGGTGGTGGTTCGTAACCATAAACTGGGTGAACGCTGGGGAGCGGAGGAGAGGGACCTGAAAGGACCCTTTCCCTTTGCTCTTGGAAGCCCTTTTGAGGTGAGCAAACCGAAATCAGACGAGGGGCAAATCTAACTATCTAAAATACGTAAATTACCTTGTATATAGGACTCTGTTTAACAGCATGAAGCAGGTGGAGGGGCACTAACCAAGCGGGAGAAACAAGATACCAAAGGACTAACCACCAAAAATGTGTTAACCAATAACCCATGAAGCAAAAGCAATAAAAACTAACATTCTACAGATGCCACACATTCAACTGTTCATGTTTCGGAAAATGCTGCCAGCAATGTATCTGACTGACTTCAGGTCGATTTGTCATGGTTAATGTCAGGATAACGTTTGGAAAAGGTGGAAAAGGTTGGAAAGTCGTTTGTTCAGGCGGGTCCTAGATAAAGGAGGTGCTATTCTGCAGGGAAGCCCTTGGAGGTCAGTGGGGGTCTCATGTTGCTCAGTAACATCAATAACAATTATGTTTAACCGCCATGCCACGGAGGCGCCTAATCTCAGTCGCTGCATCCAGAGGTCTTCCAGCGCATGCTTGCTGCATCCTTTAGGCACGTCAGCATCTGATCTGACTGCATGATGACACGTTGCTGGTTTCTTAAATTCCCTTTGTCCTTCCATCCCTGTTTGCAATGTCAGATCACCACAAATGAGATGTTTGTTTAAATAAAGCAGATATTTATTTTGGACTTAGTGCCTTGTGATGACGGAAAGCGCTGCCTTCAATTCCAGATGAAGATCCTGTGCACCCCTGAGGCATTCAGGGTGGCGGTCAACAACATCCCAATGTTCGAGTTCCGTCACCGCATCAGAGAGTTGAACCAGATTGACCGAATCAACATTCTGAACGACGTCGTTCTCACTTACATCAACGTGGAGACTCTCCCTTGAGAAAAGCAGTATTGCTACCATCCGTTAGCAACAGAGTGTTTAACAGAAAAAATGTGCGCAGACACTTACTATATCTTTAATGCTCTCTTTAATTAGGTAGGATTATGGTTTATGCTAATACAGACCTGAAGTAAACTATATTTTTAATCAACTGCTTCAATAAGGTCCACAGAATTAATAGTTTAATACACACTTTGTCATTATTTGGTTTAACTGTGCAACTCTATTTATTATGTATAATATTTTCTATAGTATTGAAATGCAACTAACTGGTTTGTATTCTTGTGACTTACCCACAAGACCACTGGGGTCAAATAAAATCATCAACAAGGAATCAGGTCTAGTGCTCGCACATTTGTATTTCACAGGCCACCAGCATAAAACAACGAAAAATCTCTCAGTGAAATAGAAAATTAATATAAAATGCTCAGTCATACAGAAATAAACTAAAAAAATGTATAAGTTTTAAGAAGCACTAACAGGAACATTACATTTTTCTATGTGAATGATAAAACAAATGTTTTGTCCCACAGTTGAGACATTTTCAAAAGAGGGAAAATGATCTAAATTCTCACATTTCTTACATCATGCTGTATATTGTTGGATGTTTGATAGTTTTTCATCATCAACAAAGTATAACACAGTCATTCTCTGCAACAGTCTCTAGACAGCCCCCTCATTTCTCCTGTTTTACTTCTGCTCTTTATGTGTTTTCATGATCTCTGCCTAACATTTCAACATTTCACATTTAGAATTCAATATAATAAAGATATTTTTCTAAAAAAAACAGTGTAGAAGAGCTATGGTAGTAAGAACATAAGGCAATTAAAAGCAAATTATTTTTTCAGTCCATAATGCTCCTCATATGAAGACATTTTCTTTATAGCTCTCAGTCCACATGTTAACATTCATGTCTTCTTTGTGCAAATAACTAAGAGTGCAACTCCCAGTGCTATTGCTTGTACACCTGACTGGTTCTTCTCAGTGTAGGCTGCCCACAAAATGTGTCCACGGCTTCAGCTCTTGGTATCTAGTCTCCTCTCCACAGACTTCAGCAGCAGCTCGGCGTACTGCTCCAGCAGAGCCAGGGCTTTGTCACCTTCACCTTTTACCGTATGGGGTCCTTCACACTGTGAGGTGACGGGAGGCAGAGACTCCAGTTCAGACTTGACTGTGAACAGGGCCTCCGACAGGGTGTTCCTCATCTCCTGTTTATCTTCACGGGGATGCTGGTCATCTTGTAGCAGCTGTTGTGAATGAACACACATGGACACTTAGCCGCTCATCAAAGCAGCACACATCTGTCTATCACATGATAGTTTAAACTCTGGAAGCAGGTTCATGAACAATTACAATTCCTTGTTTTAATTCTGCCATTGCGCTTTGAATTGCTTCGGTTTTTGGACAGTTAATCAGAAATAAATAGCAAATAGAATTTCACACGATGAGAAGAAGACATTCTTTTTGCTCAAATTTTCCAGAGGGGAAAAAAGAGAGGATGTCCTCAGAGCGTCTTTGAATAGCTTGGACTGTAAACTGTTCGCAGGCATTTTTAAGAAAGGTGATACAAAACTTCCCTTTTGTATTTATGTTACAACTCCTCGAGCCTCATTCTGACAACATTCTCTGTATTGAAAATGCATGAAGCCATCTGGTGTGAACCTAACCCAGAAACGCCTTAAAGCTTCAACTGTTCCGGTCACAGAAGAAATAAAGATGGCCAAGCAGAGGGTATTCTTCAGGGGGTGAGGCATTAAGGTCATTTGAAAGTTATTTAATAAATAAAGAAAAAATTAAAACTCACATTTGACTTAATGGCTTCGGTGTCTATGTTAATCATCGTCAAAAGAAAAACTACCTTGTGTCCTACACATTAAGGTAAACTTAGGAGTTTCTGAAGATACATCTCATCTATTGTAATTATCACTAGATATTGTTTTTCTGCCAATTATCAACTTAAAAAATGCATTTACCATGTGACAAAAATAAATTAAAATCTAGAAGGAATCAATGAAAATAGACACCCAGCTGTTAAACATGGGAGTGCACTGAGCATCCTTTGTTTTAGTATTTCAGCTAGTGGTGAGACTCAATTAACCCCTGAGCAGAAATAACCACTGAAAACCAAGCTCATTTTCATACTTCTACCTGTTTTACAAATAGAAATACCAAACTTTCTGTTCAGTTCTTTGACTGGAATTAAAGTTTGTTTTGTCATTTTCAGGCACGCTACAGACACACGTCCACTGACCGCGGTGTACAGCATGATGGTTTTCCTCAGACTGCTGTGAAGATCGCCAACAGCCTGCCTGCACATCTCCATGGTGACCGAGTGATCTGCAACAAGAGACGGAGGTAATGATTTTTAAGTACAGCGCAACAACAGTCAAATCACACATATGGCGAACAGAGAGCGAAAGGTTGAGGACTGTTCAAATAGGAGAAAAGTCAGTGTGAATCTAAGGAAAAATGCAATGCTGTGGACTGTATATCCACTCAAGGCCTTTACGGTTTCCAAACTGAGCTGAAATGATGAGAAATGGCTTGCCTGTGAGAGGATGCTATCAGCCATAAAATATCCGGGGGAAAATTCTGCAGTGACTAAAGCCCTTTAAATCTGTTCTGTTTTCTAAGGTAAAATGCAAAGTGAATCAAACAGCCCACTGTCGGGATTCTTAAAACAAGGCGGTGTACCGTAGAGCTTGTTTTAGCATGATGTTATATAATCGACCGTCACTGGGGAGGATTAGTGTGGGAAAATAGAATATAGATGGGGTTTGAGTTCTGAGAAGCCGAACCTGTCTGTGGGCTGGAAGCCTCTTTCGGCACCAGATGGCACTCTTTAGCTGCACGACCTTCCTCCTTGACACTGGAAGTAAATGTCAGAAATGTGATGTCAGTCATGAGGGTATAAAACTGATAGAACTGATAATATGTGCTGCGTTGCGTCATTTCATTCATGAGGGGCTGGCACCACTCTGTCCCGGTAAAGATACACTTAAAGCTGCTTGGGTGTGGTACAAATCAGCTTGAATCTTTGCATGCGGTGTAACACAATACCTCTCGGATACAGAGTCCTTTTTCTGCCGCACAGGCAGGGAACTCGGTGCCGAAGAGTCCGAGGTGAAAGACATCTGCCTGCATCGTGCTGAAAGCCGGACAAAAGAAATGAAAAAGCATTGTGAAACAAATGTGTCTTTGCAGGAACATGACAAATCAACACGATAAACCTGGCTGCCTCACCATGATTTTTTCCAGGAAACGCTGAGACGTCACCCCCCGCGTCCGCTGTGGGGGGGGGGGGCCCTGCTGTGCTTCCAGACCAGCTTGAGCTTGGCTTCACCTCCAGGCACAGACTGCGCCGAGGGCTCAGGGGCTGTTTGGGCAGTGGGATGCGAGAGGGTGGAGCGCCCTGATTAGAATGAGCTGCCGTAAGGTGAGGAGGAGGAGGAGAGGGGCTCTTTGATGGGGGACTGGATATGAAGGATGAGGACGATGAGAGGGAACATGGAAAAATCGTGACAGGAGATGAGGAAAGCAGGGGAGGCTCAAGCTCCAGCTCCTCTGACGAACTCCTGCTTTTGAGGAAACGTGGGGAACCTGGAGGAGAGCCCGACTGGAGATCGTCCCCAAGAGAGGAGGAACGGCTGCTTTTGGCCAAGGAGCTGGCAGTTGGGTTCATATAGGAGTGCTGCGGCTTTAGCTTGAGGCTTTCCCACGGTAGGGGTGACTGTGAGGACCCAGAGGAAGGTGGAGAAAATTGAAAGGAAGGTTGGAGGGCGTTGTGAGCCAGAGCAAGCTGCTGAGGTCTCCCGTTGACCTCCCTCTGGGCACTAGGTGGCACAGGGGAGCGAAGAGCTTAAAAAAAAGAAGAAGAGATCACTATAACTGTGAAAAGAAGTGGCAGTATCTGATATATTATATGCAACATTCTTTCAATAGTTAAAACACTGATTAATATTATATATGTATATGAAGAAATCTGTCAAATTACATCTTTAAACTTAGTCTATAACTGGAGTAATTGCATAACAGTTGTATATACTGCGGTTAATATAGTTCAAATAAAAAAGGAGGCATGAACGTACTGCCTGTGGACAGGTCCTGTGCAGATTGTGACTTCTGTAAACAAGCCGCCCGGTCAAACAGCCCCAAAGCTTTAGGCTGAGGACTGGACATCCTCCAAAGGTGAGTCTCTGAGCTCTTCTTCTTCAAGGGTCTAAGTTTAGGCGGAGAGTATCTCTCTGGAGCCCTTCACAGATGAAAAAGTAGACCTTTAGAGATTTTATTGCTTCGTGTTCTGTTCTTATCCTAAATTTCTTTTAAGACGGTGTCCCGTCATCTTTTGAAACATTTCCAGAAAAAGTTTGTCGCTGTGAAAACATCAAAGGTCACAGGCCAAAAACAGCAGGATAAACAACGTATAAGAAAAAAGTATTTTCTTTTTCTTTAAAAAAAAAATCATAACTTTATCTAAATATTTCAAACTTTCACAGACTCTTAAAAATAAAAATAAACCGAATTCAATCAGTGGTGTGTGTTTTCTGATTACATCTCAATCGTTCCGAGGGCCCCAGAGATCTTGTCCTCTGGCTTTTTGCTTGTTCCGTCATCCATCAAGGGCCGAACTTTTGAAACTGGAGGCTTTGCTGCGATGCTGGTTTGCTCCTTTCCGGTCACCTTGGCAAATGGAAGCACAGTCCTACACAGAAAAAAAACACCTTTAAGGTTCAATAATGAACATAAATGCAAAGACGCCTAGTGATCTAAACTTATGTGTAATAATATGAACATCCTCTTTTAATTCTAAGACTTTGTACATAGGAACATGGGGGGGGGGATTATTATAAAAACAAGTTTGTTTTTTTGTTTAAGAAAAACTGAGCAGAAAGTTCATTGTAAACATCTCCATAAAAGCAGATGTTTTAGCAGTTTTCTGGCCCGTGATCCAAAGGGATTATAATATATTCATGTGGGTTATACATGGCCACAGTACCTGTTATTATGTCCTCGGGCCAGAAAACGTGAAGACATACTGAGTCTGGTGACTCCTCTCTGCTCTGCTGCGAATGAACGAAAGGAAATAATCAGAGGAAAATGGAGACAGAGGCAGAGAGTGAAAGTTAAACCAATAATGTCTGTGTCCGCATTTCTCATATGTGAGAGGAAATATCGATTTGATCTGAAGAGAAACAGGCTTATATGAACTTTAAAAATCAGAGGGAAATCAGAGGGAAAACAGCCTTTTCTATTCTGCTTAGAATGAAGAAGCCCGTTCTACTGTCTCTGCTCAAAGGGATGAGCGAGTGTTTGTGCTGCTCTACCTGTACTGGAGCTTTCTGCCAGTGCCTCAAAGTTCTGCTTGAGGAAGTCCTCTGGACTGTGGTCAGCGGCAGCATTCACCGTCCTCAGAGCCTCGTCCATGCTCGTGATGACTGTCGTCTTCCTTTCCTCTTCCTTCTCTTCTCTCTCCTCCTCGGAGCTGGCCTGGCTCAGAGACTCTACATCTGCACAATGTGGGAGTGAAAGTGAAAGCGAAAGGAGGACCGGATGAATACACAGCACAAACACGACTTAAACCTGCTCATATGGGTTTTGCATGGCAGTTTTGTTTTTTAAATCACTTCAGTGTGAACCGCACACCTGTCATTTCTGACCATCTACAGTACCTCTTTTTTCCATTTTTGCACATGCATCATGAGAGTGTGACCTCACCGTCCAGGACGCGGTCCGGGCTGGACTCCCTGCTGTCGTAGCCCAGCGAGCAGGCGCTGTCCGGGCTGTGGCTGTCCGGGCTGTGGCTGTCCGGGCTGTGGCTGTCCGGGCTGTGGCTGTCCGGGCTGTGGCTGTCCGGGCTGTGGCTGTCCTGGCTCTCCGGGCAGAAGCCCCGGCCCTGCGCAGCACAGCGCTGCTCCTTCACCATGTAGTCACTGACACACGCAGAGAAAACCACAAAACCAATGAGAGGCATTCAACACCAGTTAAAAAAAGCTTCTCTTCAGCAGTAACAGAGGTCTTACCTGTCCAGAGGACCCGAGTCTTCCTCGTTTTCCTCGGGAAAGAGTACAGCCCCATTGCTTCCCTTTCCACCCTTGGCAGTGGGTGAGGAAAGCCACGCCCGGCGTCTCCTGGATCTCTCATCCAACTGCCAATGCAGAAAACGTCAACAGGTGACTCAAAGGTGCTGTTTTCAACACCTGGATCCACGTGGAGGTTCTGCTCTACTCACCTGGGGCTCGTTGAGGCTGGATGTGCTCCTTCTCTCCCGGTCGCAGGGGGGGCAGTTGAGGTTTTTCTTGTGACTGAAGGTCTCCAGCTGCCTCAGATCCAGCATTGATTTAACCATGAGCTCCAGGGAGCCCATACGGTGAGACCAACGCCTCCGCGGACGCTTAGTGGGGTCCGGAGTCACCTGGGTGACGACGTCCTGCTGAAGCCGAGATGAAATAAGAACCTGCTCACGTTTTCCCCCTAACCCCTTTGCTTTGAAACATGCTTTTCCAACGCTGTACAATCAACACCTGCATCTAAATTCCTCTGCTAGTGACAAAGCTCTTTCGTTCTTACTCGTCCTACCTTTCTCGGCTCCCAGGTCTGTCCGTCGTCTGAGCCCTCTGCTGGGAGAGAGTGCACAGTAATTTACATTTTGCCCACAATAAAAAGGAAGGGATTCGCTAGATTTGTCAGGGTCAGAGTGGCAGAGCAAACGCTCTAAGAAAAACTTCTCCCATTCTGATCGCCTGTTTCATCTATTTTCTCCTGCTGCTCATGATCCGGCTGTACCTGTGTCCTCCTCTCCGTGGCTGCTGTCAGAAGAAGCCGTGCTTGCGTTGTCATCAGCGTCGTTGGTTTCCTCGTTCTCCACTCTGCCCTCTTCCTCTTCCTCCTCCTCCTCTTCCTCCTCCTCCTGCCCTTCCTCATGCTCCCGCTCACTGTCAGAGGACAGAGCACTCAGAATAGGAGCGCTGTGCACCTCCCGCCTGCAGGTGAGCAAGGAGAGATTGAGCGTTGTGGGTGGAGCAGGGCGGAGCGACGGGGGACGTGAGCTCTCAGCAGTCGCTTCCACCGGGAATGTTGTGAGTAAGCAGTTTCTGCGTGGTCACCTGAGTCTGGAGGTGCGGCAGGCTGGTACGTTTGGGTTCTGTTGGAGTTGGAACAGCCTCTCCCTCATGCTGATCGTCAGCTCCGGAGCAAGTCGCCACACAAAGATACAGCTGGAAGATAAATGCGCGCAAGCATTAAATATGTAGGATATCATTAGAGCATGACAAAGGAGGACACTGCCAGGAAACACGTTCGAAGAGCAACTTCCTCTGAAGACAAAAGAGACAAAAACCCGCTCAGATTGTGTTCATTTCCTTCTCTTGTGCAGGAACCTGCATTATTCACTTTTCAACTTTTATTGCCAAGTCTGACTATTCAAATAGAACTAAAAATGTTCAAATATGCAAAAGTCTATGCGATGGTTACCTCGTTTATTTATGCTTAACACTGGATTTCTCCAGTGTTTAAACTTTAAGCCCTCTCATGATACCGCTCCAAGTGATCAAACTCAATTCTCAGCTCCATTCTAAAAAAACGATTTAAGTAGGAGTAGCAGAAGTTGCTCTGACTTTCGCAGTTAGAAAACGGACTTCGGTGGGGTTGCAGATTATTTTACCTGCTAGGGCCACAGAAAACTCCAGCTCTCAAGCACACATCAATAAATGCACTTAAATGTGATTGCTCAACACCATTTCTAGGTAGTCTGAGCTGTATTGGCCACAATCTCTCAGCAGTGCAAACTCAATGGTGTCTTTAGCTAAATAAAGAGACCGCCTACTCAACTGCCTGACTCCTTATTGGTCCAAAATAGCAACATCAATGGCAGAGTCTGGGAGTCAATCAAGCACATGCAGGCATAATCATGAACTATTCGTTTTTCATCAGGGAGTTGGCCAAGTGCCCGACTAAAAATAAATCCCTTTAAAGGATTTACCAACAGCCATTCTCGAGGTAGATGTGATTGGGTTTGGAGTTTGAATAAATCACATGACAGGACAGCCTCTCACCTGTCTCCTGATACAGAGATCAAATATTTGCAGTCATTGGTAAACTTGATTCCAGTGGCAATTTCTGTCAAATGAAATGAAAAGAAGAAGAAAAAAAGGCTCATGAGTGACTTTCTGTGATATTGCCTCATCTTACAAGGTTTCCTCGCTCCTTCACAAATGCAGTTAATCCATAGCTCAATTTTTTTGCATTAAATTAAGGTGTGTTGTATACGTCCTCGTTGTGTTACCAGAATGTCCAAACATAGTGGCGACGCACTCCCCAGAGTAGAAGTCAAAGATGCTGATGTTTTTATCGGAGCAGCTGGTGGCCACATATTGACCCGAAGGATCGACCTGAACCTGTCAGAATAAATATGAGTTCTTTAGTTCTTGGATTGAATATTCAGGTTGGACAGGGTCTCCTGTGCATAGGTGCTGAAGAGAAATGTTACCTTGAGCACACTGCCATCTTCGCTCAGAGATCCTTTGTAGAGCTTTTTCTGTTTGCCACTGTTGATGTTAAAAATCCTGCAACCAAAAAGAAAATAAAAGCCTATGACTCCGTATGAATCTTTTGAAAAACAGACCGGCACGCGCACCCACACTCACCTGATGCTGCGGTCCTGACAGCCCACAGCTGCGTACTTGCAGGTGGCGTCAACACCCATGTCATAAAGTGTTGTTTTCCTCACCATGTGGTGAGAACGCCTGAACTCTGTTCCCCTGTCAGTCTGCGAAAGAGAGGGAAAAAGGAGAAGTGCTAATTGGAACACAACGTAGCGTATTAGATGTACAGCCGTTATGGTCAGAGGTATCAGAAGTAACACATTATTATGCGTTTAGAGACGAGGTAAGTACCATTTAGTTATCTTGGTTATATCCAAAAATGCAAAATGTTAGAATTAGAAGTTGGAGTCTTTTGTCTATTTTGGAAATTAATAAATTAATTTGATGTATAACGCTAAACATAACTAACATTTGACCTGTTATATTCACATAGACACAAAGAGACATGCATATTTAAACATTTAGTCAGAGCAACGCACTGAGCTAAACATCCAGGCATTTGAGAGATGAATCACTATCGTATAGTCACATACAGGTACTAAAAAGCATTTCCTGCTGTTAATGTTTGGTAGAATGCACACAGCAATTAGAAGTTGGAGTCCTTGTCTTACCTAAGTAAGACCCACACTAAGCCAAACATCCTTTCTAGTTCAGGCCAAAGAAAATCAATGTTTGAATCACATCATCATCAGTCATCATCATCATCATTATCATCATCCTCCTAACGACAAAGGGTAGCCATTACATTTCATTTGGGATTACTGTAAACGCAGAGCATGACAAAAATAAATCATTCCCATTCATGTTTAGGTCCGAGCTCAAACATATAACAACAACTTTCTAAATGGCACGATGCGGAGGAGAAGTTTTACTAACAAGACAAACAAGCAACTGTTCATTGTTCTTTGAGGAATGTTCGGCGTTCCAGCAGTGGCCTGAATTATGCCTCAAATTTAACAAGAGGGATGTCGCAACTGGAGCTCTGACTGAACACAGATCGTTTCCTGTAAGCAATAAAAACGCAATGCTTTTTTTCTTGTTTTTCCTTCTAAATGTGCTAAAATGCTCTTTTCATGGTACACTGCTGACAGTGGGACCTCTGTGCGGCAAGGCGGGTCCTAAATTTATGGAAATAATGAAGAACATGTGCAACACACACAGAAGTGGCCCAAAGATTCCTCAAAACATAATATGCAGAACACGTTTTACATTGGTTTTCACATAATAGCACCCACTGAGAGAGATTTGATTATGAAATATTTAGAAAAGGAAAGCAAGTGCACTCATTGTACTCTGGTTACAGCTTCAAGTTTAGTGAACGAGATGCCCTTCTCATTCTGCTCCTGGAATAACTGAGATTTTACTGTAACTTTAATGTATTTGTGCGAGTCACTGTTTGATAAAGGGCTAAAAAGAAAAGATAAGAAGCAAAGATTGTTCAGACTGTACCTTGTGTGCAGTGTGGAAATAGATGCTCTTGTCGGCCCCACAGCTGATCATCCTCACCTTGTTGTCATTGGCTACAACAAACAAAAGAAATCATTTAGTACTTAGACAGACATGATAAATCCCATTTAGTCAAACCTTAAGAAAACAAACACCCAGCTGTTTCTCATCCACAGGCTTTTACTAGTGTTCAATGATAATTTACAATCTATTTAACTGTCTGGGGATAAACAAGTGAAGCACTGCCAATCACAGACTGAATGAGGAATCAGTCAGGACTGATGTAAACCTTTTAGTGTAAAGAAGTACAGTTGCAAATACATTGTTCAATTATACAAATCAAAACTCTGCTTGATTATGCATACAGTGATTACTCATCCAAACAATCAGAGCTGTAAGCAAGTTAAAGAGGGACTTCATGTGGGACTGAAGGGAGATGAAAGCCAGGATTAAGAAAAGATTAGCCGTCAGATGTCTGCAGAGCTCAAATGGCTCACCAGCAAAGCGGACGGCTGTTATGGATGAAGAGTGCTCGTCGAGCGTCTGCACCAGACTGTAGTCATCAGCTGCATCCAGAACGTGGATCAGGCGGTCCCTGCTCGCTGTGGCCAGCAGCTTCAGACCTATCGGCAACCATGGGCATGCACAGTCAGCGCACAGTCTGAAAACCAGCTGGAATCAGAGAGACTAACACTCATACAAACCTGTTTCTGGTTTGCTGTATTCCAGACAGAGGATCTCATTGTCGTGGGCTTCCACTTTCAGAATCTCCTCCATTCGGCTCAGGTCATGAACCCTGCTGAATACAAGTTAGCATTCTAGAAAAGAGGCCACTTATGTCCATCAGTCTCTGTTTGTGTCGACTTGCATTACCTCAGCATCCCGTTGCGGTCTCCAGATGCCAGGTGTTTGCCATCTGGGCTGACACAGATGGTTCTGATGCCTGTCCTGATTTCCGACGTCTGCGCATCCCCCGACTTGTCTGCATTCCCGTGTGTTGTAGATTCAGAATCCAGCAATGCACTCGTGTTCCCATCTATGTAAATAATGTCCAGGAGATCCTGCAATGCAAATAGGTGACAGTGAAGTAATACATCCCAGTATTAAGATTTCTGTTTGAGGGGAAGGGCCCAGTGCTCAAAGCTCAAACTCACCTTGCTGAGGATGTTCTGAGAATGGACACGAGACTGCGTCCAGTCCTCTGTGTTCCACAGCCTTATGGTGTTATCAGCTGAACACGTCAGGAATGTGCCCGATAAGTGTCCCGCAACCAATTCTCCAGGAACATCTGGAAACATCTGAGAAAGATTGACCAGTTCGGGAAGTAAGTTATTAGACACTGAATGTTCACATTGGAGGCATTTACAGCCAACATCTGTGTTTCTTATCCAAAAGTCACAAATGACTTTTTCTGCTTTTCGCCAGTGCTCAAACTGTTAAACAATCTCCCAAAACCAAGAAATAGGGTCATTTGGATGCTCCTGACATACCTGATACTGTCAGCCTTACACCAATCAATCTGCACATTCAAGGACCTTCCTTGCTTTACTCATAAACGTACATGACTTAAAACTTGATTTATTTTGAGAATCAGGTATCTTTTACCTGTGTAGCTTTTCATGAATGTAAAATAATAACTCAAAACAGCATAAATAAGCAGGGTTCATTACCCTGAACACAAATCCATAGTGTCAAAGAGTATTTGTATGTTTAAAATGTACAGGTATATACAGCTTAGCACATGTATTGACCTATAACAGATTATTGTAACAATATCTGCTTGTTCCCAACGGGTCCAATCTTCTGCCGTTCAATGAGCTGACTAAAGCCTCTCAGTTCTGAAATTAGTGTGGGACCGATCAATTCCCCAGTGTTCTTTAATCGTTCAGTCTACAGTTCTGTTGTTAAGTATTTACTGACCCGTGGGCAGATTTGTCGCCCGCATGTGTGCCAGCTCTTAACAAGCTCTTACACAACCGCTTCCGCATGTACGTTCTTACCTCCAGATCCCAGACACATGCAGCGTGGAAGAGGGCAGAGTGCACCTTCCCCACCCTCTGCACATCTCTCACATCCCAAACGTACAAACTGTGGTCACTGTACACACAGCTGAGCCAGCAGCTGACAGGGTCATAGGTAACGGCGATCGCATCTGGGTATCGGGCATCCACCCTGGTGTTGAAAAGGTGGCTGTAGAGGGAGAGGTACAAATGTGTTCAGGGTCATGGAACACAAAACCAGGGAAAATACATTTCGAATAGAGCTTTCTGAAGGAAAAGCACTTCGGAGCGATTTAGGCTGTGAATTGAAACCACTTGAGACAGGTGGCTCTATAAATAGGCATGGATTTGATTGTGCTGTGGGTTGCTGCCAAGGGAAGGTGGCATTACTCCTGAGCTCCTCCTCACCTGGCCTCCGTGACGCTAGAGATGTGGGAGCCCAGGGGGTGCGGCCGCGGCATCGTGCAAACAAAGTGCAGGTCGGCGGGGCTGAAGGCTCGCACCGTCCCATCGGCACAGCCGCAGAAGATCGTGTCTTCAGACAGAGACAGGGACTGGGCCACGCCCGTCTGCAAGGCAGGCCCAAACATTACATCAGTTCATTAAACTGCTTTTTATATAATGAAAAAATAAATAAAACTGTCATCCTAAACTTTCGTAAAAATGGACTTTCATCTTCTGGCTTTTCATTAGTGGCAGTGCAGCACACAGACCCAGAAGAATGACAAAAGGATTTTTAAAAGGGCTTAATTGTGACATTGTATTTGAAACAGGCAGCATTATGGATGGCCTGAATGAAGTAACATAGCATGACTGACAATGCCTCCATTTGTTGTGCAGAACTTCACAGGATTAAGAGCAGCGTGACCAGAAGAGTCCAAACGCTCCTGTGCTGAGGCTGGAGACGTCCCTGTCACTCACCCGTAGGTCCACCCACTTGTCCAGCGTCCTCTTGCTGTTGAACTCACACAGCAGCCCTGAGGAGGTTATGCAGAAGGTGGAGTCCGATTTTGCGCCCCGCCCACAAGCCACATCACAGAAGAAGTTGTTCCTCAGCTCTCCCAGCAGGCCGGAGCGGCCCAGCAGAGGCACAGGAGCCCGGGCCTGCATACCGCAGAGGGTTAGCTGCTAAGTCTCCACAGGCGGAAGTGGTTACAGCTATTAAGTGTGCAGCTGAAATGCTCATTTGCACATTTTAAACAATAGGAACATTATTCTAATGGCTCCAAGCAAAGGGAAATCTGCCACTTACATAACAACTACAACTACTTTCATACCTTGCTGGCCTTGCAGTGGTCCAGATACCAGAACCTGACGTGCCGGTTTCCAACCGTCACAAAGTAGGAGCTGTCCTCAGAGAAAGACACACCTGTCACTTTACTGGAAACCTTGTTAGCAGCCACGACTACGTCCTTCTGCAAGACAACAGCACAATGCGGTGTTTAGCTATGATTCCCAGTTGCCAGATGTTAACATGTGGCATAAGCTAAGGCGCCAGACATTGTGTCATTGTGATTCAGACACTTGTCCCCTTGTCCTAACTAAATATCAATGTGACCTTGCTTCTTCTTCTTAGCCTTATGGAATCTTCATTTACATTTCTTAAATATGTATAAAGTGTGTCATCAGTTGGTATGTCATCAACACACAAAGATCTATTTCTTAAAGCGTGAGAAGAAAATTTGTTGACACACTGTCTAATTTCTAATACTGTATATCAGTTGAATATCCTGTGTCAAATTAAACCCACATAGAATATATGATTACTTCTTAAATTCTTATACATAAGTAAGAATCTTACATTAAAGAGCTCAGTCATTATTCTTATGTAAAAATTTTACATTTTCTTTCAATGAATGATCATGTACTTGTCGTGTTTATGAAGGTTTATTTTTTTATTTTTTAGGCTCTAGTGGCCTTTAATGACAGTAGCTGGACAGGAAAGGGGGCAGAGATAGAGAGGGGGAGACCTGCAGGGAAGGGCCATGGGCTGGAATCAAACCCAGGCCGCCCGCTTGCGAGCAGAGGCTCCGCATATGGGCCGCCCGCTCTAACCATTAGGCTACGGCTGCGGCCCGTTTTTGAAGGTTTTCAAATACAGGCAGTTATTTGTTGCATCATATTGTTTGTCAGAACCTACATTACATCCTTTAACCCTTTTTTTAGCTATGGAATTTATTTTTGACATAATACACCGTGTCATTTTGAGAGTAATCTAAAGGACATAGTGTAAATAGTCTTTTTTAAAGCCCTGGATAAGCATGATAAGACAGATTGTAGGGAGAGCATCAGTATGAAGGGCAAGTGTGAGCGTCCGTGATGAGACAAACCTTCCACGCCCAGACGTTCACCATCATGTCATGCTGGTTTCCCACGCTCACTATGTATTTTCCGTTGGGGGAAAAAGCCACACAGGACACCCCATATTTATGCTTCTGGAGCTCTGCCACCTGCCGTCTCTCCGCAACGTCCCACAGCCTCACTGCAGGTAAGTGACCGCTCTGATGAACAGGAAACAGGGATGAGACAGAGCGAACTGAGGGACAATGACTCTTTTTTATGTGTATTTTTGCTTGTGCATCTTCCACAACGAGTATGTTCTTTCACTTTTTTTAGAATGGAAATCTACTGGAACCAGCAACACAAAGGGCAGCAATCACCCGTCCATCCAGTCTATAAAGCTCCCCAAGAGATTATCCTCCCTGTTCTTTGACTGAAATCAGTTACCTGTCCCTCGACCTGCACATGTTATTCCCTTCGCTGGATCAAAAGGTCAGCACGCTATTTGTATGGACTGTTGTGTAGCTTTCTCTGAGGGTGCAGTCAATGAGTACGATGGCAGGCTACCTGCAGGACGCTGAATATGGATGACACCGAACTAAAGACAGGCACTATATAGGACAGGGCAGAAACTAATCAAAAGAAGAGAGACCAACAGATAGCATGTCTGTTGTCAGCCTGTCTCTGTATGCAAATCAGCAGGCGTTTGATGAATGAGTGTGTGTGAGGAAGACATTAGATAATCCACTCAGAAATATCTTCAACGCTTTAAAGGCTTAAATAAAATCCACTAACGGAGCTGTGATGCTCTCAGCTTTTATCACAGACAACAGCAGGTACACGGAGCACGCTGATGTCCCCCGGTTGCTCACCACATCGGAGAAAAAAAAATAAAAAACACGGCCATGGTTAACTGAATATCCTCCAACTGAACCGAAAACAGTTTCATAACTCAAAGAGGCTCTGGTGGGAAGCTGCAAACTTTGAAATTCAGTTGGTGCGTTTGGTCTTTTGAACTGCGCTCTCCGCCGTCATGGCAACGACTGCGTGCCCACTTCCACAGAGAAGTCTTTAATCGGCTTTCATTGGCTAGGGCGGATTAAGGTGGCATGTTGTGTAGAGGTCCACGTTGTAACTACAACAAAACCGAGTAAGGACGCGCGGCTGACAGGACACGTTACACTGTGACATGGCAAAACCTGGAGCGCCTTAAAGCGGCGAGGCTATTACAGGCAGACACTGTGGGGTCACCACTAAGTAAGGGGTATTCTGCCAAAAAACTCGAACCCACTGCAAATGCGTCGCACAAGTGCAGCCTGTTTGAATCCTCCACACTTAACACTGTGGTAAACATGGCAATATTTCTCCTTATAAAGTCTAATCTGAGACACTAAACTTCAAAAGCAAGAAGAAAACATCTGAAAGAAGGACATGGAATGGAAAAACTGACAGTAATGAAACTCACCTCTCCCGTCACCAAGTACTTTCCATCAGGAGAGAATGATAGAGCAGTGATGGTTTTCCTACGAAAGTAAAAGAGGGGGAAAAAAGAGTGAGCCTCAGACTGTTGTTTATTTATATGATTTTTTACTGCTCTTCTTAAATGGACATTGTGTTTATGTGACTTGCCTTGAAGGGTTGATAATGTGGTACTGTCTGCTCTTTTTGGGGTTCAACAAGACCACCGCACATCTACAAATGGAAAGAAAAAAAACAATTAACAAACAGGTTATCTGGAACACACCAACGTATCTACATGTAAATGTATGCCCAAACAGTTTATTGTAAGCAGGAAATTCATTTGTGTCCTTTATCCTATTGTCAGGGTATTAGAAAGTTATCCGTAAGTTGTAAAATGTCTTTAGTTAGCAATGAAATGGTGATTAATGACAATTGTATCTTCAAATGTTTTATCAGCATTGTAAATGCATTTTCACACAAATAATTTAGTATTTTATATCTATATGAATTAAGTCATGGGAAAACATAAAACATAGAGATACGTGCTGTTAGTTGGAACTGAATGAAATTTTAAGAATATACAAGGAGTTGTAATAGTTGACAGGTGAGGGTGTCAGAATTGGGCTGGGTGGAGGAAGGAACTCTTGGTGTACTCCTCTACTAACCACCAAATTGAGCCAAACTCAATCATAGAATCATCAACAGCAAGATACAAATATCAACACAAAACTGCAAAAATGTTACATCTTTTAACATCTAGATGACATAACCACCACTGAAAATCCAGATAATCTGGAGAAATGTCTGTGTGCACAGACCAGTGACAGAACCCAATGCGATAAACAAGATAAACAACTCCGTTCTTTTACTTTTTAAATGTTTGCTTTAGAAGGACCTGTTGGTAGAAATATATGCAAACCATGTTAAAGGGTTTATTATCGACCTCGATCATTTATAAACAATTTTTTAAGTGTTTCCTTTCCATATTCAAATCATTAAGATATAAAGTTCCTGGTAAAAGAGCTTCCTTTTTCCTCTTTGTTTGTGGACATCACACAGAGAGCTACAATAGTAGATGTATGGTGCTTATATTCCATATTTTAAAGGATATATATATAAATATATATATATAACATGTTACACTGGGCTTTTCTCCATCACACAGATGGATGGAGAGGCAAAATGGGCTTCAGTATCTTCCCAAAGACACTTTGACGTGTTTCTTGAGGAAGATCGGAATGAAAAACGGCATCAATCTAACTAGCAAACAACTGCTCCTCCACCTGAGCTGCACCCACCTGTTACTGAACTATCCAGCTCTGAGCTCCCTGCCGGGATACTACATTCTGCCTACTTCAGCTTGAACAGATTTCAAACGGGACAGCAGGTGGTGGGCCAGACTGTGCACAATTTGAGACGAATACAGCAGGCTAAGAACGACAAAGCCAAGCAGATGCACTCACACGGCCGGTGCCGGCCTCACGCCAGCACTCCTCACAGAAACATGAATCACTCCCGGACACAACGGCTCAGACTTGTTTTCAGTTCAAATATTGCCCTTCTTATGACTAATGCCCTTAAATTTGAAAGAAAAACGAAAGCAGCGGGATTGCGTGGATTGTTTTCCAGCTCTGCAGGACCCACAATACTTATTAAACGCTATGCTATCGGTGGGCGGGGGGGGATTCAGCAGGTTCTGCGAATCACTGCTGTGGACTTACTCTACACTGAGAAGGCCAGCTTATTAATTAATGCAGGAACACTACACAGCACTGTGTGGTTTATTACATCACACAGTGCTTTCCTGAGGGGGAGGGGGGGGGGGGGGTAGAAACCTTTGGAGTTCTACTGATGAGGAAACCCACAGAGCTCTCCTCCTCAGCTCCTCTGAGATGGTGCACAGATAACACTCACACACAGAAATTTGCACGCTAACTGTCTGCTGGAGGTAGATGAGATAAGAGAGCCAGGGGTGCTGATAAGTCAAAGGTCAGATGAGGCGATAAGGGCGCGTAAATAGCCCCATTCAGCTCACCCTGCAGGGTAGGCCACCAGTCCAGAGCGGGGATCGCTGGCCAGCCCGTTGTTTCCAGAGGCCGTGATGCCCAGGACCTTCTCTAAAGTCACCTGCGGAGACACAAAACATGACAGAGCCTTTTACAAAAACGTCTCAGACTACAAAACGACCACGTGAACGTGCTCTGGGGGCATTTCGTTGCACCCTACAGCCTTGGTTGTCACAGTCTGACCTTCCACATCAAATCAACTGGAATAGCAAAAAAAAACAAAAAACAGACACAGTCTGAAAAAAACAAAGAGCATTTCAGACATCAATCTAGAAAAATCCAAATCAAGTTAATTGGATGTTCCACTTGTAAAGTAGACTGGAGATCAGGTTTGACCTAAAACAGTAGACATGACAGCTGGCTGTCTGTTTCAGGGCTGTAAAGCAGCTGCTGCCTGAATGGAATTAGAATGGACTTAATGCATTTTAATGAAGTTGCATGTGTGTCGTCCCACTAACACAGATGCAAATAATTCAATTACAGCAAAGAACGACGAGGTGAATAAAGAAATATTGGATTGCGTGTGTGGATAAATCAGATCTGAAGCAGTTATCATCTACAGTATTCAGCACCAGTGAGTTTGTGATTGAACGCACATCAGATCACAGCTCTAAAGTTAATGTAGGCTACTTCTAATGAAGGGGGGGTCTCCTACCTTGCTGGTGAGGCTTTCTTTGCTGCCTTTCTTGTTCTTGATTGACGGAGAACGCAGCAGATTCCTGATGCGGCTCTTAATGGTGAACCCATCGCCTGGCATTTTGCGTTCAGCCTCGAGGCTCCCAGCGCCTGTTGGGGCCACAGAGGATGTGAGCGGAGAAGACCGAGAGTTCCGTCCCCCAACCGGCCTGACCACCGTCAGAGGCAAAACCCGCCGCGTTGCAGAGCCGGACAGCGCCTCTGCTGCCGCCGGGACCTGCGGACACTAATCTCTTGAGTGGGTTTAGCCTTTTTCCTCCTCCCTCCTCCACAGAGAGCCGCTGCTGCTGCTGCTGGACCTCTGCGCACGGACACTCGACTCTACTGTCCCTGCACCGACTCGGAACGGAAAAAAACGGCCCGTTTGACATCGCTATTTAAATACGAACTCCTGATTAAATCAATCTTTGTGTTTGTTGCTGCTGCGTGAGCGGATTTAATAGGATTAAAGAGTAAGAGAGGCGGATGTTTGGGGGCCACAGGTCTGAGTGAAGACAAGGGTCCTCTTATCTCGTGGATGTCTAGTTACTCCTTATGAACATATTTGCCTAACTCAGAGCTTTTTTTTTTTTTTAGATAAGGCACAAAAGCGTTTGCACGAAGCAGGTTCCTGCCTTTGGGAATTGGCCCACTTTCGCACTTTAGTCCAATCAATTGATCACAGTCTGCTCAAGGATTCCTTCCATAGCTACAAGTCAGCGGATGGTCGCTGCATCCAAACTTCCTGTCAGATTTAGGGTTTTGCTACTCTTTGTCGTGGACCTAAGGCTTATTTTACAGGGCCAGGGCCTTCCACCCGGCAGCTCGGCCCTGTAACTAAGCTGCTGTGAACACGGGAAGCTGGCTTTACTAAACAGTTATGGCAAACAGTCTGAATATTCAAATATCTCTGCGGGGCACGCCCCCTTTTCCACTCTCCCACATATGTTGATGAGATGAGGGCCGTCGGCCATGTTTGTTTTTATACTGTCAAGAGATGTGGGCGGGGCTAAGAGTTACAAGGGGCGGGGTTAATAAACGTGGTGTTTAGATAATTGACATTTTGATACAAACTTAAGAACCAATAAAGTTTGTCTAATCTTATTACTTCTATTTGCATTTGATTGGGCTATTATATACATTTGGATAAATATGTAAATTTAACATTTGATATCTATATGAAATACTTATACTTAGATTTAGATGTATCATTTATATGTGCGTTTCATTTTTACACTCCAAATGTTTCTAAGTGCAGTAATTTTGTTATTATAGTTTAATTTTTATCCTGTATATTAGGGAAAGGTTTAGGGAAAGGTTTAAATAGAGCTTTCCATGTGGTGCTCCATATAAGACAGAACTAATAAACTAATAAAAAATATTTAAAAAATGATGTCTCTCTGGGATTATAAAAGTATTTCTAATTCTGAACATGAACACTAAGTCTAGGCCTCAGTTAGTTTGAAATCAACTAAGTCTTGGTAATAAAAAAAGTGATCCGTATTTTCACTGATCACAGTTCTTTTTTTCATGGACGTCTCCTCCTCCAGTGTTACAGAGGAGACCGTCCAGCTTCTTATCAGGACACAGCTTAAGAGCCAGAGTCCATTGTGGTAAAGAGGATAGGTCTATCAGCACACACAGGATGAGTGGTTTAAATATTTAAATGTGTGCATCAACAGTTTTTGGACCATCCTGACAGTTCTAAGTGACATTTTGAAGGTATTAAGTACCTCAAATGTTGTCTGTTATTTAAATACATTAAATTACATTTACTCTGCTTATATTTAGCTTTCTTTGATATGTGCTTCACTGCCCTTACAGACATGGATGAGGTGTTAGCTCCGTTATCACAGCAGACTTCAGTTGTGTTGCTGGCTTGGGTACTGAAGCACGGCTGAATAATATGGCTTGTTTACATTTTGTTGAGGGTGACGAAGTTGTACAGCTCACACCACATAACACATTCAAGATTTTTAATCCATTTCTCAACAAACCATAACAATTTTCTTTCAGATACAGTTCAGTCACGCAACAAAAAAGAACCTAAAACCAAACTTTATTTTAGAGCAGTTGATGAGTACCAAGATAAATCTAATTTTTTTGGTTTTTATTAATAAGTGTCTGAAAAATCATAAAGAAAATCAAATGCATTTAAGAGAGGAAGCCAAGTCTTCACAGCTGCTATTCATTCAAAACTCATACGGTTTACACAATTTCTTAATTGTTTGTGACAGTGGGTGTTTGATATATTGCTTTTACTCCACTGCTTTTCCCAAAATGCTGATCGTTACTGTTACTGTATAAGGGTGGAGAGAAGCGGAGACAGGTCTCTATCCCTTATTTAAAGTGCAACAACAGTTTTTTTTACAAAATTAGTGACAGAAAAACAACAATTTCTACATACGTCCATGTTTCTGAAAACACACACTGCAAGGCTTAACATGGTGGATCTATTTGGTTTCTGAAAGGCGAGCTAGATCACTAACGGATTACTTCAAGTATGACATAATTTGATTACACATCAGAAACAAGTTCATAAAAATGCCACAGTTAGCTTTTGAGACATATTCAGTTTGTGGTGGTTTTCACAGGCTTCACTCGTACATTCAGCAGGTCACTTAATGCCAGTTCATAGTCTGCCGTCCTCTGCCGTGTAAAACCTCACTGAGTTACTGAGCCAACAGCAGCATGAAGTGTTCCACAGCGCACCGACACTTTGGTTTTTGGAAACAGGCACATTTGGTGAAGCTGTCTGTTGCTGTTGATAGATAGAGTGAAGCAGAGAGGATTTTAAAAAAGCCTCAGAGTGGTCTGAGGTGTCAGTGTGGGACTAAGTCAGGTCAGAAGAACCTTAGCGGCCCCTTGTCGAGGGACTACTCAGAATCTGGGTCAGGCTCAAGCTGCCTTTCTATATCTATCCAAGACCGCTTCTTTGCGCTTGGAAAGTCTTTTCCGAGGGAGCCGCGGGTCAAAGGTCGCGACCAGCCGGCGTCTGCGGTGGCGTTTTCCCCGTCGGGGCAGGCGGTTAACCTGCCGGGGCTAAAACTGTCGGAGGGACGTGTGGCGCCTCGCTTGGCCGGGGGGCTCTGTGGCAGCAGAGACCTCCTTTTGGGAGGCCTGCCTCTGCGGGTTTTGACAGGCGCGGGGTCGGTGGCGGCGCACATCTTGGTGTCTGTCTGGGGAATTTTGTCACCTCGCGCCCCATCGGCTGGCGAAGGCGTTTCGCTGACGTGCGGGCGTGGCTCAGCCGCTCCTGCTGGAGGGTTGGCGAAGGGCCATTTTCGGGACCTGTGGCTTTGGAGTGCCTCTGGTCTGACGGCCCAGCGCACAGAATCAGAAGACACGGGTGCAGAGGGTTGGGCGTTGTTCTCACTCTCCCCTTTTCCCGCCCCCTCGTTTTTCTCTTCAACTCTTAGATCCGCTGAGGGCACGACGATGGATTTGTTAAGGAGGGCCAGCTGACGTAGGGGGCTGAACACACCTGCGAGCTTTGGATCTGGATCTGAAGGCGCAGCGCTCTGCTCCAAAGCCTGCCCCGGTTCTGAATCTGAGGGCTGGTGGGCCGTGGCGTCATTTTCCTCTGAGCACTTGGGAGGGTCCGTGTCAGAAGCCTTTGTGTCAGCTGAGGAGCTAACCCCACTGTTCTCTTTCTCTCTGGGATTCATGACCACCAGCGTGTAGAAGCCTTGATTAACTGTGAAAGAAACATAAATAATTATATCATATTTTCAAAGCAGCTGGAAAGGTTAGAGATTGTGAGTCGGTTACAGCGAGCTTACATGGTTTTAGAGATGAAGGAAGAATGATTCTGCCAGTTTTAGATCGAACCAGAGGGAGAGAAGCGATTGGCTTTGGGCTCAGAACTCTGTGGCCACTGCGATTTGAACAAGGTAAGGCTCCCTTTTGAGCCACAGTCACCTGAGGGGCAGCTCTCTCAAGGGTGTCTTTTATGCTTAGACGGTCTGGACATCCAGGTTCTGTCTTTTCTTGATTTGAAGCAGGGCAACTGATCTGTAAGGAGGCGGCAGGCTCGTTGAGCGGTAGCTCTGCCTGCGGGGTCACAGTGGCCACAGCCTGAGGTGGACAGGACGCGGCAGGATGTTTGTCTGGCGAGCTATGTTGGCTTTTTGAGGATTGAAACAAAGAAAACAAATGCTGAAAATTCTTTTGAGCCGCCGTGGACGTTTGGGCTTCAGACAGGTGGCCGTGGTCGGGCTGCGGCAGGGATGGGGGGTTCGGGTGGAGGGAGGGCGCGGTGGCCTGCAGGAGAACAGCTTTGGTCTGGAGGAGCTGGGAGAAGACGGGCGTCCACGTCATCGTCCTCTGCAGCATTTTCTGTTGCTCGTTGATTGCCTTCAGCTTGCTCAAGATCAGGTCCTCGGGCTTCCCTGAAACGGTGACATTCCACACAGTGTTTGGGTTTAAAAAGCAGCCTGTGCTCAGGCGGCGGCGGCGTACAGGAAGACAAACCGGACGTACCGGCCAGAAGGGACAGCTGCTTCACACTGGCGGCCTGCTTCTCCATCAGCTGCCTCTTCTCCTCCTGCATTCTCTCTGAGGTCTTTTCGAGGTTTTGGATCTCGTTAACGGACTTGAAAACGCAGCAAAAATGAAAACGGCGTGACTACGTTGACGATGCTGCAGGTTCCCGCCGCAGGCACCGTTTGCAACATAATGAAAAAAAACTGACCTGGTGGAGGAGCAGGAACTTGGGGGTTTTGGGGTCGGAGTCCAGCATCTGTCGAAGCTGGTCGAAGAGCATGCGCTGTTCAGATCGTCTGCGCCTCTCCAGCTCCGTGTGGTTACTGCGAATTTTGGTGCTCTCTGTCTGAAAATGGGATGCCGAGACGAGCAATGAAGTAATACTGACGGAGGATGCAAAAACGAATCCCTGGGATTCATTAAGCAGTGGGTTTCTGTTCTGTAGTGAACGGGGGTCATACCTTCACTTTGAGCTCCATGCTAGGTCCAACATCGTAACCTGGACCCCTGAATGGGGACAAGAATTGAACGTGTTACAGTCAGGCTTAAACATCAATGCCTCTGACTCAGTGAAAGAAAGTATCATTACCGTGTCTCCTGCTGCGTCTTTAAAGCTGCTTCCTTCAGCTTTGAGATGGCCATTTCCTGCTCTGTCTCTTCCACCGTTTCAATGTCCACCATGTCGCCCTAAGATAACAGTCATCCAGTTTTTCCACTTTTCTCTCTTATATTTTTACATTTTAAGCCAACACACAGAAGCAAACAGCTCAAACTTACGTCCTCTCCACCCTCCCCGTCGTCGGAGAAGTCGGAGCTCATATCTTCTGAGGTCACATCAAGGCTGGTTTCCTCCTGCTTCACCGCCTGCCAGTTGTTGGCCCCGTTCTCACCTAATGGCTTATTCTTCTCCTCGCAAATCAGCCCAAAGGACTGCCCAGGCTCGTCTGTTTTGCTACTTAGTAAGATCTTCACTTTATTAAAGGAGTCCCCGCCGAACCACTCTGATGCCAGCTGGCGGAGATTAGACGCTCGGCCTTTCTCTGCCGCCTTTGTGACCTTTTGAGGTTTTGGATGGTGTGCGTCAGAGCTGTGGGCTCCGGCCTGGGGTAGCTGGATGAGCGTGAAGCCCCCGGGCAGGGCAACGCCCTGTGGCTTCTCGCTGCCTTCAGCATGGCTGGATGGAGGGCAGATCCTGAACGAGCAGGTTCCGCTCTGTGCCAGGAAGCTGGGGCTCTTCAGCGAGGGCGAGACGGTGAGGCGGATGGGGGAGGACCTGGAGCCGTTCCGGACGGGGACGAGCGCTTCGGCCAGAGAGTGCTCTGTGGAGCTGAGGGAGCCACTGCCCCAAAGCCCGGGCTGGACTGGATGAGCTGAGGAAACAAAGGTTGGCAGGGTCGTGAGACATGGACAGCTGCATTATCAAATTCATGCAAATTCATGTTTACAAAATCACAAGTCAATGCTTCTGACTTTTTGCTAAGAGAACAGCAATGACAGTAAACCACATTTTGGAACTCCTCCAAACCAAAAGCATGTGTGTCAACAATCAGCCTAAAGCCAGGTTCCTACCTGATGGCTGGGTTACTGTCCACGGATCTGCAGTCTTCTTTGGAGGCACCAAAGTGTCTGCAGCCTTTCCACAACTGGATCCAGAAGCGTCTCTTTTAAGCGCGGGGTCCTGTTTCCGCATCAACTTATGCAAAGTGCTGCTCTGACCGTGCAGCCGACCGGTTACGTAGGCAGCGAGGCGGTTGGCTGGGTGCAGAGATCCCATGCTTCCCAGCAGCAGTCTGGCATGATTGTAGTACTTCCCGTTGACCTGAAAATAGAAAAAGAAGAAAAGTCAGGTCAAAGTCAAGCATGCGACTGGACGGGGTTAACAAGACTAGCCGTTAGCGGCACCTGTATCAGCCCAGAGGCTTGTCGGCCGACGTGTTTTCTCCTGGCTCTCAGTCTGCCAGCGGGGGCGACGCCACACAGGAAAGGCGTGACTCCGAAAAGTCTGTCTGGGTCCTCGACCTGCTCATCTTCCTCCGCGCTGTCGGAGTTCTCGTCAGAACTTTTGCTGGCGTGCTTCTCCTCATCGGACTCTTCTTCTTCGTCGCTGACTTTTGAAGGCTGGGTGATTTGTATCTGGGGGGATGTGGAGTAAAGCAGGAGACTTGATCATTTGGGATCTTTTTTTCTCTCTTTTTTTAGTTTAGACAGGCAAATGGACCCACCCTGTAGGTGACCAAGGAGCCACTGGGTTTCCGCATTGTGACCTTGGCGACTGGGATTATGCAGTAGGGTCCGATGTAAGAATGCTGATGAAGCCGGTTCTGTTTCATGCGCTCGCACAACCCTTTCAGAACCATCTGTCTGTCCTTCCTCCACGGACACATTGACTGGATCTGGATCTGCTTCCTTGCCTCTGCCTCATTGATTTCGACTTTCTTAGAGGACTTTTCTGCTGAGGACACATGGTCACGCAGAGGGTTGAATCTCTTAAAAAGCTAAGAGACCACTGGATCGTTTCCAGCCGCTGGTGAAACCTCAGCCAATGACACATTGTTTTTACCTGCTTTCTGACCAGTAGTGAGCTTGTGGTGTTGGTTTGGGGCAGCTTTCCGTGGTGTGGTGTTGTTGGATGAGTAAATGAGAGCAGAGGTGTTGGTATCTAAGGTGACTTCCGGTGGAGGCTTGCTGTTGAACTCTCTGACACGGGCGCAGGTCAGTTTGCTCTCAAAATATAAATACACTGGATCCTTTTCCTCTTCCTGCATCTGTAATTGTTTGTTTGTAGATTAATTAGAACTGAAGATCAAAAACACCACCAACAACAAAAAACAATGATAATCTGATGCTAACATGAGATGTTTAACTTCTATGTCAAAGAGAATATTCATTGGTAAAAAATAAACGCTTATCAAAGGTCTATTAAATGTAATTAAGGAGACTTTACCGTTACTACCTTAGCTGGAGATGGCATGGCTTGTTTCTGGGGCTTTTGGGCAGTGAGTGACAGATTCACTTTGCCCATGCTTTTGGAAGCTTTAGGAATAAACAGCGGTTCTAAATCGTCATCGCAACTGTTAGAGGTCCACAGTTTTTTTCCACAGCCTGTGTGCCCCATGTTCTTTGTGGCTGGAGAGGGAAAAATAAACAAAAAGGCCAGTGAGATTTGGGCACTTTTAAAAAAAAAAAAAGAATGCTGTTCAGCTTCTGTTGAGATAAAGCCTTGAGAAAAACCAGGATTGAAAATAAAAAACCCCTAGAGCCACTGGGTCTTACAGTAAACAGTGCAGCTCTGGTCCTCACTTCCTCCTCCCCCTGCATTCGTCTCCTCGGTGGTCTGACGTTTAAAGCAGGCGCAGCCAAACATGCACTCGGGCCGTCTGCAGTGGAGCGGCCCTCGGCGCGGCTGCTGCAGACTGGGACACACACAGCCCAGCCAGCAGAAGGCTTTTTCGCATTCAGGTCCCTGAACCTCATTAACTGCAGCAGGGGCTGCTTTGGAGATCTGACCCGGCAGCATCTGCTCAAAGGAAAACGAAAAGCCTTAAAACATGTAATAAAAAAAAAAGGAATGGCTACTGTCAGAGTTTAAGGTCACACACACACAACTCCAGCTCTCTCTCTCTGTCTGTCACACACACACAAACACACATTAACCAGGAGTGCAGGTATACCTCTTTAGACACCACTGCAGACAGAGCCATCGTTATCCTTTCTGGAGTCAGATGTGTCCTGCTAAGGCCTCGGTTCAAGGCTTCCATCTCTGTGTGCAGCAGCTTGAGCTGGACCTTGTTAAAGCCTGGAAGTCTGTGCGATGGCCTGAAAGGTTGAGAAGAAGAGCAGGTTTCGGGTAATCATCTTCAGTGTTCAGTAAGAATTGACTTCAAGAAATAAAAAGCTCCGCAGGTAAACTACGGAGGGGGTGTTACTATCTCAGTTACATGAGCATATGTTCAAAGGTGGGAATTCACAGTATTTGCAGGAATTTGAAGCGAATCCACAGAAATAATATGGGAAACTTTGGTCAGCTTACTCAGACAATTTTCAGGTTTGATTTTGATGCTTGGAGGAGTATTTTTAAAATTCTTGAAAACAGAAGCCACAACGTGAGATGTTTCCCTCTCTTTTCACAAACCTGATTTTCTCCTCTACAAAGTAGACAGCCTGTGGGAGTTCACTCATCCTTGCCCTACATATCTGTTTGGAGCTATAGATGTTGAACGTATACCTTCTTTTTTTTAATAAACTCAAACGCATCCTTACCTTTGTGAGCCATCATTAGCAGCATCTGGATGAAGTTTTTGGGGTGATGTTGGCTTGCATCTTGACTGAGTCTCTACTTGACTGGTGGCTGGTGACAGCATACCTGAAGAGAGGGGGGGTTTGTGGGAACGGGGACAAGGCCTGGTGGTCCCCGCTGTGAGTTTAGAGGCAGTGTTTTGATGCTTTAGGATGCTGTCCAGGGTCTTCACGTAGCTGGAGCTCTTAGCGGGCAGCTGATAGGCCACGGAGCCCTCTGGGCTTGTGCAGAAGGCGGCGGCACGCTCGCTGATTTGCTGAGCTTCGCTTTCCAAATACTCATCCAGCATGTTGCTGCAGAAGGCAGACAGGTTCTTTTGTAATCCTTTCGGGTAGAAATAATAAAAAGCCTTTAATCCACCGGGCAGGAATAATACTTCAGACACAAGCACATTCAGCTGGCTGCCGTTCAGTTAATCTTTTGGTTATAAGAAGTGCTTGATAAAACAAAAAGAACAAAGAGCCGTGAGGCCGCGGCACGATTAGCGAACGTTACCTTCACACTTTGTGGAGCTTTCTTTGCTTTTTATGAACTTGTTTTTCCAACCCTTAATTTTGGTCATGTCGCTGGTCTTCCCTGTTCGGGAAATAAAGGGAACACTCTCATCTGCAAAGGACAGGCAGGGTGTTAGCCTTCAGCTGCCGTTTAATCAGACCAGCGTGAAACGCATCAGTTACAGTTTGTTTGTTTTACTGCATTTATTAAGAGGACAAATATAGAAGAGAAAAAAAACAGAGGATACTGAGACAGCTACATTATTCAAGAGGAACAACTTTTTTGTGAGCCAAACTGATTTTTTATGGAGTATAATACTTATATAAAGAAGTTGTGACAGTTATTACAAGGTTATAGCCCAGATGCCCGCCTTATGTAGAAACCTGACAAGAGATGATTAAATGCTAACTTCATAGCCAGCAGATTCCCATTGACAAATAACTTATAATTTAAATAAACAAGTTGAAAAACAGCTGCACTGAAACACACTGACAGACAAACCATCTTATGAGAAGGCTTCAGGGGATAAAAAAAACTCATATTTGTGTTTAAAAAACAGCCCACAAAGAGCCCTGAGAAAACACAAAGTGCTTCCAAACAGATGAACTCACCAGCATGGGCAGTTTTGCTCTGTTCTGGGGGGGTTGGAGGAGGCAGAATGACCCCCAGATACTGCAGGTCAATGGGCATGGTGGGATCCAGGGAGCTCAACTTCAAGCCCACTAAATGTAGGCAAAAAAGCGGGGAAAAAAGAGAATCGACACTGACATTGGCTTTGAGCGGCTGCATTGACGGCTGGGATGTTGGCACGTGTGCCGACTCACCCTCCTGCAGCACCGGGTGGATGATCTGTCTGTGTTTGAGAACTCTCAGGTCACTTAGCAAGACGGACTCCAAGCGAGCCATCTTCTCCTCGGCCGTCTCTGGATTTGCCTCAACTGAGGCACCGACGGGTGGGGGAAAAAAAAACAAACAAATATTTTGTCACGACACAAAGAAATTATAAAGAGGGGACACCAACCCGTTCTGCTGCTTACCCATTGGTTCTGACTGTATTGATGTGGTTAAGCAAACGGGGCGTGCTGATAGAGGGGAGCTGCCCGGCTTGTCTCTGACGTGAACCTCCAGAGCTTCCTGACACACAAAAGAAAGACACTGAGACAAAACTCTCCCCTATTTTTATATAACTGCGGGTGGATGGCAGTGGGAGAAGCTGCACCCTCACACTCTCCCTCACACTCAGATTATTTTACCTTTGAGGTGAATGACACAAACAGCAGGCCTTCCACTTCATCCAGCTCCGGTTGCATAGCGACAGTCAACGATGGGCTGTGGACGACTGTGGGGGAGGCAGCCGCTGCCGATTTCCACAGTTTTCCTCGGGAATTACCCCAGTAGCGCTTCTTCATCCTCCTCTTCCGTTTTCTGTACTCGGGCATCAATCGAGGGGTGGAGGCAGAGGAGGACGGAGTCCCGGATCTGCCTGCGAGCAGCTTGCGTGCCTGTGAGCCCAGCTGCTCCTCTGGGGTCACGCAGGTGTCGTTTGCTTCCCGGGGCTCAACGCGTGGGCGCTTTTGGACCAGCACAAGCTCACCCAGTGCGTGTTTGCCCCTAATGCAGGGGACGTAGGATTCGCCTGTACCAGTAGGGTTAGACATGATGGGCTTCAACACTGGTCTGGTGTCCTGTGTATTTGGAGCCAAATCGCTGAGACTCTTTGAGCTGTAACACACACCAAAAATTACATTCTAATGGTTTTGTTAGAATAAAACACAAAAATTGGGCCGACGACTGACTGCAGGTCGCCGATTGGTCAAGGTTGTCACACGATTGGACGAGTCATGAAGCCATGTTATGGGGACCTTGGACTGCAGCTTTGTCTGACGTATTATATTTGATTGTGAAATAAATATATTTTAACTTTATCTATATTTACAACACTGATGATCACAGAGTCAATTAAATCAGACAATTATTGTTGCAACCTTTTTAAAATAGGCAGTATCCACATGATGGACTTGCTTATTGAGTCATGTGACCCCCGACTCAGCCCGTTTGGAACCTTGTCCAAGTAGCTGCTAAAATGTAATGGAAATGCAAAAAACAAAAAAAAACTTTAAAAAAACTAAACATGTACAGTTCAGTGAGCCCCACTGTGTAGGTGCTCCTTTTCGTGTCCAACTGCAAATGCACCAATGAGGCTTTTTTGATTAGACCCTTTGTGTTGTTACAGAAATAAAAAATAAAACAGCCCTTTCCAAATGTTGGACTCCTACTTTAAAGAAACAAGGGCATTTTTTTAAATAAGAACTTATAACATTAGTTTGTGAAAAAAATATTAGTTTTCTTTTATGCTGCTTTGTCTTCCCCAAAGTGCCACTTCTGTTATAAAGCAATGACAATTCCTGTCGTCCAAGTAGGCTATAATTCAACTTTGCTGTCAGTCGAGCTGACACAGAAAGATGGAAAATTTCTCTGACAGTGACAAATTCTCAATTGGAAACGCCAGCCAGGAGCTGAGTGTCTTATAGTGGAGGACAGCTGTAGCCGTCACGTGCCTCCAAACAAATTCAAAGTAGGGCGATGAAATGTCATGGCTGCTTCGAAGACTGCAGTAAAAGTGCAGATTTCCTGGCCTGTTAAAAACGGTGTGACGGGATTTGGAGTGCTTTCCAGCAGCGGAGCTGACAGTAACTACACCAAACAGTTCAATCCATCCAGAAGAGCTGTCGGAGCGTAAAAAGCTGACAAAAATACTACAGATGAATGGCTTTAATACTTGTACCTTTGCCATCGAGTCATTGTTAATTCTCTTTTCATTTCTCATGATGCTTTGCAAGAAAATTGCTTCCATTTTTCTGCATTTGCAGGCATCACAGCTATCTGTCAAAGGAGACCAATCTAGACTCTAAATCCTTCTTTAGTAGAGGTTTTCTCAAAAACAGCTTGGTGCTACAGATGTGGAGCATCGCTTTAAACAGAAGGGCTGTGGATGGAATCAGCTGAGCACTGACGGCCGGAGAGAAGCTTCTGCTGAAGTCCTGAAACTTCAAAAACAGCTTTGTTCAGCAGCTCATTATTGTAAACAGCACTATGGTGGAATAACCATTTAAAGGAGTGTTATTCATTGATTTAAGACTCTGAATCTTCTGAACAGCTGTGTTTGTGTAAAATGGCTCACAGCTGCTGTGCTAAAACAACTGCTGCCGTTCACAATAAGACAAGTCAGAGCATTTTATGGAAAAGCAGCAGGAGAGTCGTTCTGACATGATACAGCCATGATACAGCCATGACACAATATTAATGGAACGCACATGTGCTAAACGGGTGTCAATAGCAGTCACATACAAAGATTATAGCTCAAAGTGACACTGTGACTAGTTCTTATGTGGGAGATCCTCGTATGTTTGAGTACAACTGAATTCTAGACTGTTATACAAACCATAGAAACCTGAATTTTATTAGAGCAGAGCGACAGTTTGAAAATGCTTTGTGTGACCACAGGTTGGCATTGTCATTATTTGCCCTTTTAAACAGAGGAATGTGTCCAGTATGTATACATCTGAATGTGTTAGTCCAGTTTTGAACAGTTTTCTTTGGCTTAAACACACATTTTTCCACAGTTGAATAAATATGATAAATGTCTAGCTCCTCCAGTAATTAAGTGACGCACCAGCAAAAATATTTACAAATACGCTTACCTCAGATGCGCCACCTCCACCTTTTGCTCACAGGCTTCGGTGACTTCTCCAGCTGTAGGCTGACTCTCCGCCTGCACCTCAGAGGTGCTTCGCCCCTCGGTAGGGACTCTGTTCAGTCGTGGGTTGTTCCCATCCTCTCTGAAGCCCTTTGCAAACGGGTTATGACTGATTTTCAACTGAGTGATGCGGAAGTTCTGATAGGTCGTCACGGCCATGAACTCGGTCTGTGGGAAAGTAAAGATCAGGCTCTCGGGTCCCATGACCACCGGATGGTCACAGGTGGGCCCGCCGCCATCCGGAACAGGAATAATATGCAGCCTAGGAATGTAGCGATGCATGGAGTGAAGGATTATGTGACCGTTCCGGTCTTGGAGGTTGTTGGTCAGTTTGAGTTTGTAGAAGGACACCAAGCAGCTCATCCACTCTGAGCCTTTGCAAGGTGAGTAATGGTGGGGATATGCCCGGATCAGGCCTTGGGTCTGGTGCTCCACTGGCCCCATGACCTCCCATTTCGTCGTGCTCCAGCGGTACCTGTACTGACCCGTAGGAACTATGGACAGAACAAGGTTGTACTTTTGCTCAGGGTCCAGACCAGAGAGGCGGTACCGGCAATAGGGGAACATGCGGCGCCCCTGCTTGGTGAGAATCATCTCAGTTCCACAGCTGTAAAACTGCTTCCAAACGCTGTTATTCTCCAGAGACACGCTTATGCCCTTAAAGGTCAGCACGGAAGGAAAGTCATTTTCCACATCTGCACTCCCAAATGAAGTGGAAGGTAAAGCAGACGTCCACTGTTGGGATTCTGAGAAGTTGATAAGACTCGTCCCGGTGCAGTTCATTTGGTTTGATGCAGGCTCCGTATGTGCGGTAGCCGGGCTCGTTTCAAGCGTCCCCTCCAATGCAGAAGGGCAGATTACAGCAGCTTTGGGGGGGCTTGCTTCGGCAGGTGAAGAGAGTGCAGAACCGCAGCCATTACTCGCCATGGCTTTGCTCTCAATTGCGGTCTCGTTGGCGATAACAGTTTCTATAGTGTGAGGAAATGGAGAAGATGGAGAAGGAACGGAATTAAGAGGAACTGATAAGGGATCATTAAGCAGGCATCTCTTCTTTTTCTCCATCACATGGTTGTCCATGGATGTGAGCTCAGGTTCTGAGGCAGACATCACGGGTGGCTTTGACACTCACACGGCATTTGGTTCTCTGAAAGAAACATCAAAATGTTAATTATCAGCACAACGATAACGCGCCCTTTAGAGGCTTCTACAAGCAACATACTATGCAAAAAAATATTTTTTTTTAAGAATTAGACACAATGGTGAAACAGAGGATTAAACAAAAAATAGTCCAAAATAAACAAAGTGTTCTGAGAAAGGATAATAATCAAAACCCATCAGTGTAGAACAAACACTGGAGTGAAGCCGATGCAGCGAGAAATGTAAACACGCCACATTCTGCGATTACAACCCAAAAAATGATGGCTCCATCCAAAACCAAGCCCATCCAGTAATTTGATGCATCAGCTAAAAGTCCTTGATGTGATACCAAACTGCAAAGCACTGAACCATCATTTTCCCGAGCTGCTAGCAGTGTGATTAAAAACAACTCTCTTATCATGATCAAGTCAATCACAGTCTTAGGGCAGGTTGTGCCCTCCCTAAAGAAAGAGTGAGCTAGAAATTATGAACTATTTACAACCAGAGGCCACGTGTTGATAAGCCTTTGGTGACCACTTCTACCATGTGACATGGTGTTAAACATATCTGATGAAAACTCGCTACTTGGCTGTTATCCAAGCAGGACACATCTCTCAAAGTGGATCTTATGGGTGACAACACATTGAGGATGGCTACGTCATCCATAAGCGCTTTTATTTATTCACTTAAACTAAGTCCCTGTTAAACTTATCATTTTGTCAACTTCGCAGTTACAATACAACAATGGCAGACAACCCGAAACTATAAACTGTGTCATTCGAGTATTATTTAGCTTACTAATTTCTCTTCTCACCCGGAGAAGTGTGGACTTTGAAGTGGACTACTGCCCCAACAGACTGGCCCGTGCTTTGGAGCTGTGGCTGGTGTGAATAAAAAACATAAATAAGAACCATTTGACTACGGTTTACAGCCATATTCGTGTTAAACGACAAGAAGAGGCTCGGAGGTGATCCTAGTCGGATCTCCTGCCCCCTCCCCTCTCCTTTCTGGTGGAACCACACAGTCACACCGGCTCGCAGATGCTGCAGTCTAAAGGTGTTTTAAAAACCCCACTGAGAGCATCCATCGAGCCTCTGCTCGCGGGTTTACGGCAATTACTCCCAAATGTTGCCAGCGTTACCGAGTCCCTCGAAAACAACACGTCCCGATGTGAGCATCACTAGTTTAAAAAAAAAAAAAAGAGAGACCCAGCTCCTGCTTCCTCACACGCCGCGGGGAGGAAGGCCGCCCGCTCCAACGCTCGCCAACTTGGAAAAGTTGCACGTTTCTCTGAGTCCTCACCTCTCTCCGTCGGCTGAACGCCTCGTGGCCAACGGCTGCGATGCAGCGACGGCGTTCGGGGTCAAACTGAGCCAAAAACTGTTGCACGTCGCCGCCGCCGACACGAAACGACGCTCGGCGAATCCCTCGAGCTTGAAGACAAACTGGCAAATGGAGGCCGAGAGCCACGCCACCGCGCGAGCGTCGAGCGACCTGTGTCTGTGCACGCGGTTGAGCCAAAAGCGCGTGCACTGTATGCTCTCACCCCCCCCTTCCTCTCACACTTCTGTGGCGCGTGATTCCCGACCCGCCGGCGCGCGAAAAGCAGGACTCTACCACTACCATCGATATGCAGTTCTCCCCCACCCCCCCCAACCCTTTTTCTTTCGCTTTTTCCCACCTCGAGCTCGGTCCACGCGCCGGTTGAGGACTGGTCTCCGCAAGTTGCGCAAAAAAATGTTCTGCGAAAATTCCCGGGCTTTGTTTCCGTGTGTTTCCTTCACTTTTTAAACATTTGCGATCTCATCTCCAGTCTCGGGCTCTGTGAACTACCCTCATATACACACACACACACACACACACACGTTCTCTTCACTGACCCGACTAACACGCACCACACATCCGTGCTCTCGGGTTGTGACGTAGTACGTCAAACAAAGCGGTAGAGCTCCAATAGCCAATGCCCTAGCTGCCTTCTGACAACTCAAAGGGCCAATTGTTAAATATTAAGACCGTCAAACAAAGTTTTGATTTAAATAGAGGGAAACCTTGTGTTTATTGTGACGACACAGCGTCATAATGTGTCAAAACACACTTGAGCTGTTATCAATGTAATATGTTGGACCATGATTGGCTTAATTTCTAGGAGAAAATGGCGGCACAGCGTTGGAACTAATGTGAAATATTAAGGTGTCCAAACAAAACGTACTGAAAAGTCAGTGGTCTTTTTGTAATTGTTTTTTTTACCATACTAGGTGGTAGATTAGATACTCGTTTAGCCTTGGCAAAAACCATTCAGTATACAGTAGGCTGCTGCCGTGCTTGGCCTAAGTGAGTTGAATGGTAGGCTAATATAAATAATCTAAGAAAAAAATTGAGTGGGAAGCTTGCTCCTAATTATAAACCTCATACAAGCATAATTAAAACCTTTAATACAGATGCTGGGCTCACATTAATCTCCAGTAGCAGCCTACACTGTACCGTTTACATTTTCTGAAAAACCCTTCAGAAGAAAACGTGCCCCTTTTGACATATTGCATATAGCCTATGGTAAAAAAATAAAAATAAAAAATGTAAAAAATCAAACTAAGTTAATCATTTAAAATACGAATATACGACATCTTTCATGTGGAAGAAAATTGACAACGCTCATGCTTCTAGGAATATCTAAATAAATCTTAAATAATCTTACATAAATCTTGTTCACAGCTGTTTACCTGTGAACACGATCACATGTGGATAGTTGTGGCTTTCTCCGTAATTATCAGTTACGATGCACACTATCTCCTTCTTTTAGTATTAAAAACGTAAAAAGCTCGACTTGTCTGTGACATTTCCCTCATGACCCAAAACGAAGCAGGTTAAATGATAAACACGCACATGCATAAGCAGGTATTTAAAGTTTTGTGAGAAGTGAAACGGCATTGGACGAGCAGGGCGGGGTCAAACCCAGACTAGGAAGTGGGAAAGCAGCCAAAGCTCAACCAGCCTGCGTATCCCACGTGGAAATCTCGTGGTAATGTTTCATCCTTGCGCGTTCTTCTCTCAAAGACACGTGTGGATCTTCGGCTTTAACAGATTATTAATGGCGTGGATGGAAATAGATAGTGGAGGATTGACCTTTGAAACAAAGTTGGTCAGCGCGAAGCAACGCTATGAGCTCAGTGTGTTTGTGCAAAAATCTCCCACGAAATGGCTTAAAATGTGTTACCTCTGCAGTTTCCTGTGACCAAACATCCACTCAGAACAGCAAGTGTATTACATATTGAAGAGCACTTACCGTGCAAATGCAGTATTTGTTTGATTCAGCAAGAATATGTAACGGTTGGAAATTCCCAGACCTTCCTTATTTCACATTGGTCATATAGAAATCCTTATTTAATATTAACTTTCCTCCCCAGATTTAAAACTGTTTTCTAATCCCATAACATACTGGAATACTTCACACATTTTTCAATACGTTCAAAATATTAAGAGTGCATTTAATTTGACATAAAGAAATAAAATAAGACACATTCCTCAATAAATAGATGTCCCATTTCGTTTAATATTGATACGCCGCATGTCTGATTGAAATTCCAGACATATGAGTTACACAGTTAACATTTTAGTCAACTCTAGCTGTTTTATCTCATTATTTTGAGTCTGTGATGAGAAAATGTTCTTTCTGCAGCTTTTGCCACATGTATACATGACTATAAAAGCTTTAATGCTTGGAATTGCTATTAAAAACTACAAGACACTGTGTATTTTAACATCTTTTATCAAACATTTCTTTAAAGTTATGGGATCCATTCACTGGGCTTTTCCAAAAGGATCCATGTTCTCAGGTGTTTCTTTATTTTTTTAAATAAAAATACATTTTATATTAGGTAGTTTGAACATATATCAATAGATATCTTTTAACAGGCTTCAACTTTCATTTTATACGCTGTTTCAAACAGCAAAATCAAACTGAAGCAGGGAAACAATTTAGCAGCATAATGTTTCCTTATTTTACTGTTTAGGTTTAATAACTTTCAAACCGTCCTCTGAAGATATGAAAGTGTAAAACTGTTATTTACTGTTTATAACATAAAATGACAGATCCCACGTCTCTGTACAGGATTTTGTTTTGACCACAGCAGAACAAGTTTTTATCTAAACACGAGCCTTAAATAACTTCCTTTTGAAACTTTTCAAGGAGAACAGATTCAGCCCTACCCCATACACATATGGACATATGGATGTATAGGATGTTGAGATAAAGAACTCAGCTTCACCCAAAAAAGGCAGGTCAGTTTGGCTGAAAGCCCATTGGAAGATAAGGTAGAGAGTCCAGTCTATCTGGAATAATCCCATGGCTGCCACCACAGCCATTGTGCCTCGAGTCAGCCTCTGATCTGTACTGTTCCTGTTGAGCTGGCCTGACCCGCTCACGCTAGCTGCTGGAGTCACCTTTTTCCTCTGCCTCAGTAGCACTGCGACGATGAGGCAGCTGGTGATTGTAACAATGATCAGGGGCAGCAGGTGGCACGTCAGGCTGAACAGGTATTTGTAGACGCGGTTGAGCGTGGGACAGTCATTTTCAGCACACTGAAAGAAGTCTGGAGGGCAACTGCTGTTTCTTGTCAAGTTCTGTGCAGAGCCTTGAGGAATAATGGCAAAAATGGGAAGACCGAGTAGTATGGAGATCATCACACAAACCCCACTCAGCATCCAGGCTGACCTGATGTTGTCGAGGTAAATCGGGAGGTTGAGCCTGCTCCTGGCATCCCTCAGCTTCTGGTAGCGGTAGATGCTGATGATGACTGTGAAGAGGATACTGGCCGCTTCTCCAAACACAGTCAGAAACTTAAATAACTGACACAACCAGGTACCAGTTACAACAAATGAATTCTGTAGGATGACGACATCATAGATGTTTATGATGATAATTTCCTCTAAATTGGCTGCAGATAATCCCATGAGAAACAATTCAAATGACTTAATTTGGGAAAACTTTGTCTGGATGATGGATAGGATGAGAAAGACATTACCCAAAAATCCTATGCAAGAAAGCAATACTCTCCAGCCAAAGAAATACAAAGAAAATTCCACCATTGTTCAAAGTTAGCTGGATCGAGCAAAACACATCAATTCTGTGCTCGCGCCAATACGCGAACTGGAGATATGGCTTTCCAGAGTAGAGCAACAAACGAAGTGGGTTGTGTCTCTCTCTACCCACTTTGCTGCATCACTGACCACACAACCTTGTTATCAAGTTCTCGAAGACTGTGAGAACCTTGATTGGTGATTGGGTGTGCTCATTATAGAGACAGGAAAACAAGCAGGTGCTGGAAACAAGGCTGGGAGTCATTAAAGTTTTACCTCTGAGCTTTTCCAAGCTTTATCTTGAGACCAACATAGTGTGTCACATAACGCAGCAACATGTTTTTCCACCCGTCCAATGTTCTTACAGCAGCCCAATTCAATCTTTTGATATGATGCCCTGTCTCAGATTTGTCCGTTTATAGAAAACCTGGTGGATTGTGCAATAAAGTCATTAAATTTGTACTTTGTACTTACTGTATGTAGCCGTTCCTATACCCACTCATGGTAAATGTTAAAAGGCAAATACATTTTCAAATAGAAATGGAAACTGTCATACACCTCAAAATGGAATATAACCCAGGTGTATGGTTTCAACTAAGCATAGGTCTTAGTTTGAATGGTTTGACCCTCATTACTGGACTCTGTACTGATAAATAATCAGTGCACAATTAGGTAACCCATGTATAACTAAGTTAAAAGTCAAAACAACATGGTGTAGGCTGGTTTGCGTCAAATGATCTGTGTAGCATCTGGTAACAGGCTTCAAATAAGCTTCTGATGTTTAATGCAGAGAATTGGAGTATCAACAAAATTAATGTCCATAAAACCACCCGTCATTCGTTGTGTTCTGTGAATAGAGGGGGACATATAATGGTCCAGGGGGCTTCAGGACTTTGCTGTCGACACAGGACCAGTTCGTGTTCCAACTTGCCTTTTTTTTGTTCAAAGCCATCAAGTTAGAAGTCACACACTTTAACTAACCCCTGCATCCTGATTCAGCTTAATTGTGTATCCCACAGTGTGCATGTAATTATGGATAAGCCCCACCTACACTGGCAGCAAATGGGGACATTGAGAGTTACATAAGCTTGGATGGTGTAGGAAGTAAACTTTCAGTAATTTTACAATAAGTCATCATCATAAAGTGCAGTTTTAACTGGAGTCTTTTAAAAAGGGGCTGCAATCCAAAGCACATGCAGCAAGCTATTAAAAACTGCTTTATCAATTAATATATTTATTTAGATAAACCGATTTATTATCCTGTTGTTTTTGTTCAGACTCTTACTCTATTGTATTTACATATATAGCGTGAACTGGATATATTAGGATAGTAGCAAAATCATTGTAGTTACTAGAAAAGACAAAACTCTGCAACAACAGGTTACAACAGGATAAAGCTCTGCCTTAAAAAGAAAAGGGAACCATGATTTTATCCAAACTCTACAGACTTATAAAACTTTGGATAGCGCTACATTCAGCCTAGTGTGACTGACTCGGGTTAGCCTGCTAATGTTTGCTAACTTCCACTCAAAATAAGCACTTTTCTAAAAATGTTTGCTGTATAAATGGGACATAGTCCACTGGCCAAACACAGACGTGAGAGTTTTTATCTCACGTCTGTGAGAAACAACCGCATGAATGTCAGGAGTCTCCTTGGACTTGGAACACTTGGTGTTTCTTTAAAATGTCTTTAGAAATGCTTGTGCGAAGGACTTTCTGCAACCAGAAAGTATTGCTTGACAATCACCGTACAAGATAGTCAGAGATGTTCAATTTAAGTTCTAGTTGAAGAAATGAAAAATCGTGTTTGACACTCATAGTGAACTCTGAGCTTTTACAGAGGCTTTACAAAGATGCGAAAAATGCTAAAATAAGAAGTTAGTGCAGAAAATCATCCGGAGGACTGGCAGTGGAAAGGCTTTTTAAAAACCACCAGACACAGATTATTGTTTCATGTTCATGACGATCGTTGTCTCCTATCTTTAAATACTAACTTACACTATCAGCTGTATCGTCATTGATAATCCATAGAGCCTGGTCAATTTCTTTAGGACCTTTGACGTATTCTTCTTCTATACTTTGCCTTAAACCTATCAGTTGTCAACCACAAGGTTGACAACTTAAGTCCAGAATATAGTCCTTGAGTTTTGACAGTTTCTCCAAAAGCAAAAGACATGGGTTGCTTTCCAGGATATTAAAAAATATATTTGTATGGTGTGCATTCTCTCTCTCTTTGTAAATAGAAATCAGTATAAACTACATTTTTCACAGAGAATCTGGGGTTGGGGATTCCCCCTCCAGAAATCTGGGCCTGCCATTTCCTCCTCTGCCCAGCTGATCATAAAGCAGGCTGACAGGTCTGCTGCTCTGCCAGCCAGCTAAACTAAAGATGGTCACACGGGGTTGGTTTTCATCCGATCGTTCAGTCCATTGTCGATGCGAATAACGTTCTAGAAATCCCAATCTCAGGAATCACTCAGAAACGATATGTCCGCTTGCAGCTTTTGTCAATCAGAGAACAGAAACTTTTGTTATTTTCTTTGGGCACGCTGTTGTGTTTACAGGTGCTTCGAGCTAATCGATTAATAGGCAACGGATCCCCCCCCAGTAAGTCAGTTCGTAAGCTCGCACGCAGCCTCAGCTCCTAAGTTAGGCGTTGATACCCCTTTAAAAGGCTCACCATGCTGACATCACATGCCTCGGCACAAAAGTGGGATGAGGATGTTCTTGTTGTTGTTATGTAAAACAAATGTGTCACTTTTACTCTAAAGGAGCTCGGGGAGAGTTTTGCCGAGGTTTTTTTTTTTCGCGAAAGGAGGAGGAAGAGGGGGGGGGGGGGACACAGAGCCCACCCAGTCAGTCAGTCAGTCAGTCAGTCAGTGAGTCCCTCGCGTTGTGCAGCTAGTTGCTGCTCGGTAGCTGAACGCCGCGTGCTGCCTTCATGCTAACTGCCGGGCGCGAGCGACCTGAGCGCGGACCCCAGCGACACATCTGCCGCCGCAACACTCCCGCTCCAACCACTCCGCCGGCCCGGGAGAAGTGGATGGGACAGAGACGGGGCGGGGGGTGCGGGTGGGTTGGGTTGGGGTGGGGGGAACCAGTCTGAAAAGCTCGTCTCGGAAAGGAGTGTGCTGCCTCCTCCTGCGAGAAGAGAGTTGAGTGCTCCGGCTCTTGTGGAAAGGCTTCCTCTCGAGTGGAGAGGCGAAACGTCGGCGACATTTGAGCTCATTCCCTCCACTTGAACCTCATGTGTTAACCAGTCGGATAAAGCCGACTTGCGTTACCTCGCAGTTTGGAAAATAAGGTGCCCCCCCCCCCCTCTCCAGAGCGCTGGCTGTGAAAACAAGACGAGGTAGCGGCTGCCACACCAGCCTACGTTACGGTGAGTAGCGGCTGCTCCATATTATACCCGAGCTGTCTGTCTGTCTGTTTGTTTGTTTTTTCCTTCTAATCACGCAGGGGGAGTCTCGGTTGCGTGGCCAGTTTTTTTTTTCTCTTATTTTTTTGTGTGTGTGTCTTTTCGGACTGTTTTCAAGTCGTGCCTGGAGCACGTTACAGTGGTAGAGAAAGGCGATGGTGATGGAGGAGAATCCCAGGGAGTGGTGCTCCGTCGGACTGGTCGTGAAACGTGCGTGTTATCACAACCCCGGCAGTGATAATGGTGCTGGCGTCCACGGAGCCCACTCCAGCAAGGTCAGCGGCAGGGACTGCCGTAAGCCTCCAGCTCACGGAATTGTGTGACAAAGTGGGATGTGCCTCGTGTTCACCTGGTTACCACCGTCTGGGCGTTTATTTCGAACATTTTTTTTATGGTGCCGTGTTGGTGCTGGCGTTAAGGACCGTATTGGTGTGTAGGCTAGTTTGTGTGCGTGCGCGCGCACGACGGATTACAAAGTTTACTGTGCGCGCGTCGCGTCGGTGGCGTTTCTGTCTCGTGCGGTTCACATCGGGCCTCGACTGCGAACGGAAATGGAAAGACATCAGCCTCCTTTATTTTTATTTGTCAGCTCAGGTGAGGGAAGAACAATTGGCTCGTTCGGCAGCTCCTATCAAACGTGACAGATGTGAACAGAAAGACACATTTTCAGAGCTCCGCGTGAGACGAGCGGAATTAGAATATTTCAAGAGTTGATTCCGGCGGCTGAGGAAGCGTTCGCACTATGAAGCATACACGGGATATTAAGAATAAGATGTATTGCATGTATATAACACAGTTGCATTATTAATAAGGAACAATCTGGGTGTAGCAGCCTGTTGTTAGTGCTATAGCTGCAGCAGATGGTGCTGATTTGAACCACTAAATAAGGAGTTTTTTATAAACAAAAGGGAACAGAAGTTCTGACCCATAAATCTGTTTAGACCTTGTGTGCCTTTTTCCCTCAATATTTGACAGTTATGTGGGTATATTGGCTTTGATTTGATGCTGTTGGGACTCCAAGTTGTGTTTTTTTTGTGTTCTTCACTCATGTGATTCAGTCATCTCAGGTGCGCGTGTGAAATGTCTGTTTTCTGGATTTGATCTGACTTGACTCTGGATTTTCTTTAAGATGAAAGCCTACTCCTAATGCACCACTTATTTACATCACTGTTGATTATGTAATATGTTAGCGTCTCAGCCAAATGGCAAAGTAGGTATTCATACTGTAAATGCCACAGCTGCAAAGGGACAATTCCTCTACAGCCAGTCATGTTTTTAAAGATAAAATGGGCATTATTGTACTGAGATCATGTAAATCGGGCCTGGGGGAAATGTCCCCTGTGGTTAACATGTGATAAAGGGCTGCTTGGTGGCCACCTCACACTGGCTGTAGCTGTTTGAGGCAGAGCCAGTGGTCAGTTCCCAGCATACCATCAGGAGTGTGAGGTGATTATTTGAAGGATGAAAAAAAAAAAAGTGTTTTCTTTTGATTAATCTTGGTCGTAATTAGAGACTGCTAATAAATAATCCTCTGTGGGCCTCAGGTAGTTATTGGAAATAAACCATCTGAGAGGTTTGGTAGATGATTTACTTTTATTGGCAAATCAGAATATGAGACCGGTTTTTATTTGCAAGAGGTTGCAGGTAAAAGGCAAGTCTGCCATTTATCCATGTGTATGTTTTTTCAGCAAAATATAAAAAAACGAGTCTTGGAAAAAAACCTTATTTGCTGCCTTTCCATCTGATAAAAACCAAATTAAAACCATACTTATCAGGATTTCAAAGTGTTTCTGGAAAACCTAAAACCATCCACTGGAAACTAGTTATATATTGGTCTTTGGGGAAAGAAAACCTAAAGGTATTCAACAAGAATCTTTCTTTTTTTTTCAGGGAAACCCTAAGCTTTTCTCTTAACAGCCTAGATTTGCCCTCATTCTATCAGCACATCTGAAAAAGTCTAATGGCAGGCCTCAAATGTTGATGTGACCTGTTCATTGCTTCAGGCTTCGGGTCATAAGGGGTTAATTGAAATTTAGCGTCCTACAGGAGTTTTCACAGCATCTGGACTCCCTCTGCTGCTTTCCATAGTTGCCAGATCTGCTTATTATCGGCGATAAGCAGCTGTTGGTCCAAAAGGGAAAAGCGAGGCAAAAGCTCTTATTTCAGGAGTTTAGGAAACAAGACGTGGAGTCTTGTGATGAGCTGCATGCGATGGAGTACGGAACCAGACTTTGGATCATTAACCAATCTTTGCTCCACACCGTATGGACAAAAACATGATTTTGAACAGTCTGAATTTTGCTGGGCTGTACTACACCGAGCCATGCTGATATCTCTCCAGATTAAACAATAAAAAAAGTTGGTGCTTTGGTTTTCAAATGAAATACGGTTATGTCAACAACTGCCAACCGTTCCCTCTCCAGACTTTGGTGAAATAATCCCTGGGGTGATGGCATGTTCAATCCTTTTGTCTTATTTTCCTTTCCTACATTATTGTTTGTAATCAATTTACTTAAACTATTGAAATATATTAAACTATCATCAGCGCTACTCCACAGCGGCTCTGTCCCAGTTTGAGACTCACAGGCCTAATGTTAAAAAAAAGTCCAGCTCACAGTGGTTCAGCTAAACCCGATGACCAAATTACCCCTTTCCCTCCCCTATTGTATCCACAAAGAGTCCACAAATATTTTAGGATTTTATTTGACCATATCACAAAGTCATAAAAGGATGGGTGCCTTCTGTCAAGTCTAAGTCAACAACAACAGTTCTGCCATCATGCTCTAATGCAGGCCAGCTCAGTGGCTGGGCACTTTATTGTAGTAGAACATTAATCTCTTGGAGTTTTCTCAGCAGAGCCATTTCTCACCTTGCAATGCCTGTTTACCAGGCTTTTCTCTCTGATCCAACAAGGGTCAGCCCACCTCGCCAAACCATCATAAGTCTCATAAAATTTAAGTCAGAGGACTCGCGACGACCCACTACCCGACCTGTTGTGTAATTGCCATGCATGGCTAATAATGACCCATAAAGGCAATCCAGTGTAAAATTAGTAGTGGATTTCTGCCAGCGGACAAATTTAAAGCTCAGAACATCAATAAAACGCATAAAACTTGTGTTGATTTGGATTAATGATTCCATGATGACTCTGTAAAGCGGCCTGTTATTTTAACCACGCTTTTCACTATTTGTCTGTGGACTTTGCTGGATTCTGGCAGTGACAGTCTGACATTGGTTCTCAGTGAGGATGCATCACTCCTGTTGTCAACTTTGCACCGATTTTAAAGTACTTAAGCAGTACAATTCAGGGATACTTCTCTTGGGTTAAGTGTTTTCATTGCGTGGTTCAGCTGTACTTTTGCTCTGCGAGATTTGCCTGACAGATGTAGTTTTTTTAGGGTTTCCTTTTGACAGAGTTCCAGTTATTTCTCAAGCTTTTACTCAAATTCATAAAGTAAGCTAGTTAGCCTCACAGCTGTTTTATTTGAGGCTCTCAAAGGCTGTGTGTGTTGAACACATCCAAGACTTTTCCAAAGAAAATACAATACAAACTGACAAAGCTTTCCTCTAGGTTACATATAGGATCCTTAGAACATATTTACCTTGTAGCTCTTGAGAGGAGGCTATCCAATCTGAGAGCCAACCCTCCAAACAAGCAAAAACCAGTTCAAACTAGTTCCATCTGGACCCTACCCAGCAACACTCTTAATTTTGTGCCAGATCAGCATCAGAAAAGATTCCATCTTTGTTATGGTTGAATGACTTTTATGATGTAACAGCATGTGATTTACAGATACTGTATAAAATCACCTGTTAAGGTTTTCTTTTTTCCTTTTCCAGAAGGTTGACACAATTCCTTAGATATTGATAGATGTTGATTGTTAGATGTTGAAGGCGAGGGATCTTTTAAGAATATTTCAAGTAAATTAAGCTAATGTCAAAGCTTTCTAAAACAATCGGTGTCCATTTACACCTCTAAGCTGCTGATGCTTTCAGGGGAGTGAAAGGCTGTTTCCAAGGGTAATTTTAAAGAAGGTTGTGGATGTCAGGCGGAGGGTCGGTGGCTTGTTAAATCACCCTTTGAATCTCACAGTCCTTCTGTAGGGCACCCATGCAAGCACGAGAAAAATGTTTGGAGTCCTCAACGCAAAGTGTTTCTTCAAGGACATTGATGGGATTTTTGAAAATTATGAAATTTCAAATGAAAACGGAATACTGCCGTAGATTTGAATTGGTTCGGATTCAGAATGTCCCTACTGGACCTGAGTCTTGATTAGAGTCAGGTTTAAAAAATTTTTTTATCATCACTTCAGTTAGATTTCTGTCGTAAACATCTTTGCCTTGATATGAAACAGAAGGCACAAGTGGTAAAACAGTGAAAAGGCCTATTTGATTTTTTTTTTTTTAAAACGTCAATTTTTTGGAAACAAGTTCTGTTAACTGTGCAAAGACGGCGTCATTGGCAGCATATCACTAATAGAGGAAAGGATTAATTTAAATGACAATGTCAAACTGTAGAACCTTTTTGTATGGGCCCACAGTCAAATTTAAAGCCCATTTTGGGCTGCCTACAGAATAATCTACTGCCTCCACACCTTAGCTTGGCCTGCACTTCCTTAGAAGCCACAAAGATGGAACTATTTGAATAATTCCTGTAGGAATTAAATTTAATTCCATTGAGGGTAAACATTTTCAGTGTGTGTGTGTGTGTGTGTGTGTGTGTGTGTGTTTATGCCGGCTGTCCTTCAAGCTGCTCCTTTAGCGAATACCCTTTGATGAGGTGCAAGATTACTGTCACGGTTGCTTAGTTTCATTAGAGGAGGCTTGTTTACAATTATTTATCCTTATTGTTCTGAGGAACCCTCTTTACCTTTAAGTCAAATGAATCACATCTGGTGAACCGCCTCTTCCCCTTCCTGTTTTTCCTTCTACCTTATGAGTGTCGGCAGCTGGCCTTGAGAGCCGTGCGCTGTCTTATCGTGTGTGACACCTCAGTTTTTTGTCGTTGTTTCATAATTAACCTGGGATTGCGTCTTTACTTTCTTCCCATGCTCTGAGTCCAGTATGCTGCTCCTGTCAGTTTTTACTCGGTGACTGAGTTAAACTGAGACCAAATGAGTGTGTGTTCCTTTGGGGGCAGAGGCCTCTCTGACCAGCGCTTGAATGTGTGGACTTGCCCGGGTGTGTCACTTTGAGTGGTTCTTCATGTCTGTGCGCATCTGCACTTTTGGGGAAGAAAGAAAAAAATAAAGCCCAAAAAACATGCCAGACCACCCACTGGTCACACAGTCCATTCTCATTGAAAGGATGTGTGCTGGCTGGCTCTGTAATTGAACTCGGCTTGTGTACTTCAAGCCCACCAATATGCAATTAAGCATGACAGAGCCTCCAGCAAGCCACTGAAGTAGACTTTTTCGCGTTTGATTCTGTTCATTGAATCATTTTAGGCTGACAGATCTGGCATGGCAGTTATAGACTTCCAAATGGTAGTTTTTCTGTAAAGGAACTATTTGTGCACAATCACACATTTTACATTTGTTTTCAAAGTGTGTCTCTTGCAGAATCTTTTAACAGAAACTGATGCCTCCAAAGTCCCAAAAGCAGCTGGTAGTGTCTCTTACCTCATCTCTGTTTGGTCTCCTTATTGGTAGAAGAATGTTCCAACAGAGCCGGTGCGAGGAAACAAGAACTCGTGGCTTTGAAGTGATACTCCTTATGACACTCAGCACCACTAGACGGTGGCTGTGAAAAAGCTGCAGAGTTTCCGCCAATAGAATTTTCAATAGATTATCCGTTTAATCTCATAATTATGCTGTCGCCATGGCCAAAGAAGCCTCAAATCATTATTTTGGTCCTTTGTTTGTTTTCCAGGTTGGTTACACAACCTCTGAATGCATAATTTAGTCAGCCTTGATTAGCTGATTTAGCAATTACATTGAGTTTGGGGATCAAAGCGTGGGTGCACGGCTCCATGTGAATTTGCTGGAGATGTGACAATGGCTAAAGAGCTCAAATTGTTTTTTAAAAACAGTTTTACAACATGGTTATTCAGGTTTAATCAGTCAGATCTGGTAAAATGAGAAGCAAGGCTAGCCGGGAGGGGATGTGAACGGGCTGCTAGAAGAAGTAATGCAGGTATTTACTTTCTAAGAAATTAGAGATTCACATTTTGCTAATTGGCTACTCGAGGACATGTCGTCTAGCGCTTGTTGTAGCTATAAGAGGTTCCCCAGCTGTCTTAAACCTTTTAGTAGTCTGCGTGTTGTGTGATCATGTTATGTTTAGTTAAATGCCAAAGATAAATTGGTTAGGTTGTGCTTTGAGTTCCATCCAAAGGATCCTGTCTCAGTGTCATCTGAATGCTGGACGGTAGTCCCACTCCAAAATGCCTCTTTAATTTTTTTTCTCTTTAACACTTTTATTGGTGTTTTCCAGCAGAAGATCCAGCATCTACATCCAGGTCTGTCCTTCATTGTAGTCGGTGAATCCTGGGCTTTGTTTCTACTCATCACTGTTGCCATTGTGCATCAGGGTTGGGGACCTCGGTGCTCTGGGTGCGCTCTCGTGTCGTTTCACTTGTCGTCTGCCTCTGCAGATGCCTCTAAACGCCCTGCGTGGAGGAGCAACGGCTCACAGCAGGCAAATGACTTGTGGAGAGGAACTGCATAAAGTTGTAAAAATCCAAGACGTTTTCCAGTAAACTGGAGAACTGTTTCCTGGTTTTCAATGCTGTATATCTGTGTCTGACACCTGTTATTTAAGAGAGAAGGGCAATGGGGGAAGTGCTGATTATGAATTATGGTAACAGTGTCTTGTCCACGTCACAGTCGGTGCTTTTCCTGCCTTTTTAGCACCACTTATGTGGAAAATGTAATCTAATGTGCACTGTGGGTGAACAACAAGCCCATTTGTCTTTAGGGAACTAATCAATACTAACCAGTCTCTTTAGTTTCTTATCATCGTCTAGGTTCACTTTTATTTTCTAATGTACTGCAAGTAATGTGTCTATTCTTGTGTTTTTTAATCCCGCAATTCAGCTGATTAGATCAGCTTCTCTAAAAGTGTATCGACTCTGCCAATATTCAGCATTTGCAGTGACTCTGAACTTCTTAGGCTTTTCTTTTAATGGCGTTCTCCCGTTGAAGAAGTTGATCCTTTCCATTAGCAAAAGAAAACAAACACTAATTACTCCTAAAGCACCAGATAAAGTCTAAATAATTCAGTGAAATAAAAAAAAACTAAGTAAATGAAAGTTTAGCTACAGAAAGAGCCGGTACAACAGTGTCTCCAGTTATAAACTTATTTTAAAAAGAAAAAGGTCAGCTGTATGATTTGAAGTCTTAATATGTTTAGTTCTTTTAGTGAAGCCTTAGCGATCATTTAAACTCAGCCTGTTAGGATTAAAATGAAAAACATGTCCTCCTACCAGCAGATTTGAGTAATATTACTGTTTAAAAATGTCCTTGGGATCAAATTTCGGTCTGCCGTTTACTGATGTGGGATTCCCTTTAGTGGAGGTTTATGTGTTTATCACCTAAAACAAAGGATGAGAAGCAGAGATCCCAGAGGACACGTGGTTTTCAGCTGCTTTCATGCATTTCAAAGGCAGCGTGATGTTAACGTTGCATCCCAACAACCTTAAGCTCAAGATATTTTTTTTGTTTTTCGAATATGAAAAGTTCAGAGTTGGCTGAATCTTGACTGTGAAACATGGCTGTTATACTGTATCTAGATGATTTGGTCCACTTACCATTTGGTATCGTTTTTTTTATTTGACAGGAAGCTGTCCTCTCTTTTATTCTTACTGGCAGAAGGTTTGTCTGCCACCATGTAAAATCTGGTCCGACCGTAGCTGCAGTCTCCGTCAGCAGGAGCACTAAACTCTGAACTGATGGAACCCCACATGCAGGTTCTCTGCACAGATCCAGACTCCCTCCCTCTGATGGGTGGCCGTTCTTTTCCCCTCTAAGCCTGATTGGTTCATCTTATTTCTCATTACTTTTTTGTTTTAAGGAGCAAAATAAGGCAAATGACCATCAGTCAGCACTAAATAAAAAGAAAAGATTTGAAATATTGACTTTATAAAACGTCATGGCAACGTCAGCTGCTGTTCCCATTCGTGGCTCCTGCAGGACGCTGAAACGGATGGGTGTTTATCTCACTTGTTTCACGTGGGACGATGATTTTTTTAATTGTATTTATTTTCAATTCGAAAACGTCTCCGTGGACGTGTCGTAGCCTTCTGGCGGCTGGTTGGTGGTGCTGTGCTCGCAGCGGATGACAGGATGAGGCTGATGTCGCCCATCCATCACCCACAATGCAGCGCTGTGTTCTTAACCTACTGGAACCAAGTTACCTTTCCCATTGCAAATGTTTAGTTGCGTCCCCCGTCTCCCTCTCTCTCTCTCTCTCTCACACACACACTCACACACACACACACACACACACACACACACACACAACACACCCCACCGAACAGCTGTTGGCCCATCATTGGAGGACGGTTATGTCAAGAGAGGCTGGTCCGTGTGGCAATTGGTTTAGATTAAGTTTCTGCAAATCGGTGGAAGCACAACCAGGAAGAGCGCGCGCGCGCGCGCGCGCACAGAATATCACGCAGGCGGCGCCACCGACCGTCCTCTCGCTCCACTCCTCCCCAGCTCTCCCAGTTCGCGGAGCTCTGCCATCGCACCAGTCCGCCCCCCCCCCCTCCTCCTCCTCCTCCTCTTCCTCCTCCACCGCCTCCTCCTCCTCCTCCTCCTCCCTCCCCGCAGATTTGGTCGACGGTTCCCCGGCTGGCAGGAGGAGGAAGCGTGGCGGCGAGCCGTAAGTTAGCGCCTCGGATGATTTATCGGGTCGCGCTGGACGTTTGGAGTTGCTCCGACAGCCCAGCCGTTCGGAGGGGAGCGCGGAGCCCAATTCTTCGTTCTTCGTGCACCAGAAGCGACCCGCGGTCTACGTGCCGTAACCCCCCCCCCTCCCTCAAACACTACCCAGACTGTGACCACAACAGCCACCGTGTGAGTAATACGGAATCCGCATGGATAATGTGATCAGAAAGGGTGACTGCCCTTTATTTCGCTCGGTGCGTGTGTTTGTGTGTCAGGGCATTACCCCCCCCCCTCCTCCTCCTCCTCTCTTCCCCAGCCCGTATTTAGAGCCTGCCTGGCTACTTCAGATGGGCAGCTACGTCAGGCTGTACCCCGTTCCATCCTGCCGTATTCCTCGGCCGCGTTATGTTTGGGCTTTCTCGGCGCACTTCAGCCCAAAAAAAAAAAAGTGCGCATTTTCGCTCAGTTTCCCGCAAACGCGCGTCGACGTCCGAGCGGATCTTGGAAAAGATCAGGCTCTCGGTTTGTTCTGGGTGCGTGTTGTGCGAGCGCTGAGGGCTGCGTGGACCCACCTGAAAGTTGAATGCGTGTTTTTTTTTGTCCAGGTGGGATTCCTCTCCTTAAGCGCCAGCCGTCTTAATCGAATAAGATTTTTTCGTTGTTTGACTTTGATGTAAAGCGTGCGCGTTGCCCCTCAGGAGACTCGGCCTTAGTTTGCCCCCGCAATGGTGTGTCCCTGCAAAGATGCTGTCATTAAACTTTAAAAAGACAGCGTTGACAGAAGTGTTTGTTTTTTTTGTTTTCTTTTTACTTCAGTAAAAGAGCTGGAAGAAGTTTAAAGTAGAATCCGTGTGTTAGCAACGTGCTGGCTCACAGCTGGATTGTTCCAGGTTTGAACCTGTTCCTCTACCAGGTTCTGTCTGTAGACATTGTATGTTTTCCCTCTGATGCTTCAGCTTCAGGTCCTGAGATGCACATGATTAGTTGGCTGTCCCAAGTGGGCAAAAGTTCTGAGATTGATGTTTTTTTCATGAGTATTTGCATTCTGCTGGGTTTGGGGACCTGCCTAAGGAGTGTCTGCAATCCCCCAGGGTTGTATTTGTAAAACAAATGAGCAGGCTAAGAAGGGGTTTGTTGTAAACAGAGTATAAAGTCTAGATGTTCTTAACGTGTGCAGTAACTTAGCAGCGTTAAAGGTGAAGGGGAGGTACATCAAAAGGTCATATGCAAGTCTTGAGCTACCTCATTTCTTTCCATATTTGCAGAAAACACAGGAAATGTTTTTTTCCCACCCCTTTAAGATCCTGTTAATTTGCTTTTTGCTGTTTTTGTTGTTGTTTTTACTCTCCCTGCCTGTCATTCCTCCTTTTGTCCTCCACTTGTGTAATTTTCTTTTGTTTCTTTGAGAAATGCCAAGTTTTCATCCAAAAGCCCTTTTTTTGTTGTTTTTCTTTGTGTGATAACACCACGTGGTAATTGTTGTGCTGTCTTAAGCGGGTTTCACAGACTCACCCCAAATTAAGTGGGAACAATTTACATGTCTGAAACAGGCTGATTGTTTAGAAATGAATAAATGCATTTTAGAACTCCTCCTTTAGGAATAGGAATCTTGGTCTAATCTCACTAAACGTATAACTCGACTTAAGCTATAGCCAGTATTCCTTCAAATGCCTCGAAGATCAACGTTTTTTTTTGTCTTTTGGTAAAAATGCCTTCGTCATGATACTCCTGAATTTTTATTAGGTGCTGAACATCCGCCCAATAAGACTTCTATAGAAAGCTCAGGTGTAAAAAATATCCTAGTGCATGACTCAGTTCTGCTCTTGGTCCGTTTATTTAGCCGAGCCGATATGTGACCATCGGGTGACTCAGCTGTGCGTGTAACCACACTGACTAGTTCATCTCTTAAGTTAGTAGCCTTTCTGTTGTCTTTTGTCCCCTGAAATTGTGCAAAATACAGAAATGATGCGTGAATCGTGGCTGGAGTGAAGGGCAGTGTGATCATCCCTAATCAAGCTCAGGCAGGATGCGTCAGCCATCAGCTGATCTTGATCTGTCATTGCGCTTTTAAAACGGAATCAATCGCGTCTCATGAGCTTCAGAATATCTTCCTCCGTTGCTCAGCAACGTGCAGCTAAACTTAACTGGAGTTTCTCAGCCAGGTGGTGCAAACCCAACAAGGAGTCTTCCCTGATTGCTGTTAGGTTGGACTACCGGGTGCGCTGTAAAGCAGTGTGTCCACAAAGTGACACACCCACACACTCATCGCCTTTCTCGCCCTGCCGTCACACACTCTGTCTCTTTCTCCATGCTTCTCTCCTTTCTTCAAAGCTAAAGTTTAAGTTCCGCAGCAGGGTTTGCTTGCATGTCTCCTTTACTCCTTTAACTTCAAGGTGGTGGGCGTTGACCAGCTTTTCATTTGTTGCTGGTTTTGTGTCCATAGACTCTCTAAAATCCTTTTATTTTTGGCTTTTTTGCTTGAAGGCACATAAATGATGAACAAAAACACCCTGACTCAAGCATTAAATGTTCACAACATGCGATGAATCTGACATAGGTATCCCATGATTATTTAATAATGACGCTATATTGTGTTATCATTCTTAAATCATTGATAAAAGCCTGTATACACAATACAATAAGGGTTCTAGGAGGCCTTACAAAAGACAATGGATAACATCATTTTAAGCTTTCTGAACATCTTTGAAATACAGCTTCAGGACTGTTCCGTCTTTCCTCGACCCGGCCATCATGTTGTCCAGTTTTCTTTATTTGAAATTACTGCTTTAAAGCATATGTAAAGGGATAAATGACACTTGGTGTTTGTAATCTTCCATAACCACCCAAGTTTTGTAACTGGACTGAAGTTCCTGTCTGTCCTTATATCATTGAATCCTAACCAGGTGGCTGGTTGCTGCACACTGTCTGGAGAGGAGTTCTGCAAGTCTCAGCATAGCACAAAGAATCCCGGTGTGTTGTCTATTTGATGCCCCGAGAGAAATTAGCGCTCCGCTAGAAAGAAGGCGTGGGGTCACTGATCTTTCTATAGATATGAACTCAGTTGCTGAGGACTTTTAGACCTGAATGTGTTTTAGAGAGGAAAAATTATGCTTTGCTCGGAAAAGCCTCCTTACAGGTTGATATCTAGCAGGATTTACCGTCCACCCGCACACGGGTTGCCGTTATCCTAGTTTGAAGACACGATAAAGGCCCATGTTTCGCTCATAAAAGCTCGATTGATTTACAGTGGTGGGCTTGGATCACTCAGCTACTTGGTGTCGTTTATCTGGCAGACTGTGCACGGACATTTGAGCCGATTGTCTTGTGATCAGATAAAAGCGGAGGGTAAATTTTCTCCTCAAAGAACGCTGGTCCAATAATGAACATCGGTCTCATTCATCGAGAGAACGGCAGTAAACTAATCTAATTTGTCTGAGACGCATAACCAGAATTGTTTTTGAGGATTTTAATGAATGAACTTTAAATGCAAATATTTCTGTGTAAGAATAATGATATTGAAATGTGACAAAGCACAAAGTACAACCTGGTTCTTAAACTGAGGGTCCAGCCTTTAAATGGAGCCACACTCCAGAAAAACCAGCATCAACCTTTTTAACTGTGCTTTGGCATGTTGGTCTGAGGCACTGGCCTAAACTAGGAGATTTAAGAAAAGAAGGAAAGGAAAAACAGAAGGTTGATCAATGATTTTAATGAGAAAGGTGCTGTTACCCTCCACTTCTAACATGAGGAGAATACAGATGTGTAATCGTGTTTGTAAAAAGTTTTTTTTAAAATCCTGTTTATGAGGCTGATGATGGAAATTAATACAGTAGGAAAGGAAAAAGCTCTTCTAAGGTTCTCAAAAGATTTGTAAAAAAAAACTCTTCAAAACTTTTGCTCTTATTTATTTATATTTTTGAATATATATATATATATATTCTTCCCAAGTGTTCATTAAGAAGCAGTTCATTAACAGTTCTCAAAGATGTCATAGTATTCCGATTTTTCCTTCCACCCTCTGTATTTTTTTTACAGATTTGAAAGATTCTACGACAAATGGAATCCACCAAAGGGAGTTATTATGCCAAAACCAAAGAAATTACCCACGTTGCAAGTGAATGGAAACTAATTAAAGAGGAAGCTTTTGTGAGCTCGCTTGAGGTGCTTTTAGCCTGTTCTGAGGAAGGCACACACACGTCGTAAGGACTGGGAACGACTTTGCAAATTGCATCTGACTTGAATCTGAGCCGTGTCTGGTTTGAGCGGGTGAGCTCTATCCCACATGAATCTAAAAAACGAATGTAAGCCCAGAAAAAGAGCTCTCCCTGCTAAGACTTGCGCCAAAAATTGCCAACTGGTGGGAAAGAGGGGCAAGCCATTTTTCCGTTTTTCTATTTCTACTCTTTCTTTACCCTACAAAATCAATTCTAGACGTCTCCACTCTGTGCTTCAAAGCTGAGCCTTTTGTGTGTTTGTATGTGGTGTGTCGGAGTCCGAAAGAAAGCGCTCACAAACAGAAAGTGGCCAAAAGGTGTTGATCCAGTGTGCAGTTAGAATAAAGAATGCTCTGGAACATCAGAGTATGCAGACTTTCCCAATGAACGCCATGAATATAACACTCAGTCTATAAATCATCTTACGATGGTGCTTCAAACTAGTTACTAGCAGCTTTGTCTCAATGAGCAGATAATCACCTGATGGCAGTAATTGCCACCAATTTCCGTAACTGTTCAGCTGTATAAAAACGACTGACTGAAACTAATAGAAATGTTGTATTTCCATAGCTGTTTCCAAATTGGTTTTCCTCAACACCCCCTTCTCCTCTTATGGTGTTGTGGAGCTGTTCTGATGAGATCTGCTGACACTCATTTCATTGACTAAGCTTCAGAGCCAGATAAGTTCAGCCTTTTGTTCTAAAAAAAGTTAAATGAAAAGGGAAGCCAAACCATTGATTTATAATTGGATGAGTGACAGCTTGACTTCTGTTGTTGGAATTGAGTGCATGTTGGAGAGCTAGAGAATAGTTGTTTTTTTTCTGGTTTGTTTATAATTGATAAAGGAAAATGTGTTTTTCGGTCAATAGAAAAGTAACCTGGTCTGATCTTTGGAAATCACTCTGGATTGCTCTCTGAATTTAATTGTGGACGTAATGATTCTCAACGCACTCGAGGAATTAGCAGCCGGGAAAATGCCAGCGCGCTTCAATAGGCGTTAAATCTGCTTGTTTGTTTAATTTCTCTGCTTTCAGCTCGTAGTTTGTTTCCTTTCTTTTGTCTTTTTTCTTTTTGACATTACCTTTCCAGACTAAACATTTTGAATGAAACAATTGACCTGAACATGCTGTTACTCTGTGCACGGTGGGAGGTAAGACGACGAGTGGATGCATCGCCTTCCCCTTTGAAACATCCCACGCAGGCTGGAATAGAGGGACCGCAAACAGACATTCGATTGCTGAAGCTCATCACGGAAATTAGGTGTGATCACAAAACCATTCAGCTGAAGGATCTTTTCATCAGCAAACCTCGTCATGCATTGAAGCGGATGTTTCTGTTGTGTTCTTGCAAGAGGGTGTTGGATAGAAGGCATCTTTCTCCTTTCCTCCTCTGTGTGCCTCACTGCTTTGAGGTCTGAAATCACGGCAATAAAAGATGATTAGAAACTAAAATGATTATTGCCGATGGATCCAGTTAAACACTTTGGTAGGAGTTGAGCAGCGGTTTTCTGTTTGTTGACAGTGGAATTTGCAGGTGCATGTCAAAGACGGGGGAAACTTTAGACTTGACCACTTGTCTGTGTCTTATCTCCAGGCTCTGAGGAGAAGCATGTGATGACTCACGCCAGGCAGACAGCTTCCCTCAGGCAGAGCCCCGGTAGCGCCGAGTGGTGGGAGGGCAGCCGCCCGTGGCCGCATGCTGGCGCGATGGGCGGCGCCTGGCCTGAGCGCACGCTGCGATTCGGCAGGACCAAGAGGATAAACGAGGTCGTCAAGGAAGGGAAAGGCATGGCCAAGAGGATGAAGACCCAGAGAGGAGGAACAAAGAAATCGGAGCACAGCAGGAAGCTGGACCGGAGAAGAGACAAGAAACGGGACCGAAAGCTGTACCCCTTGCGGGGGAGGGCGGGGAATCCTGACGGGGAAGGGCTCAGCTGCCATGTCCTCCTCACCCGACTGGAGGAGGGCTCGCGCAGGAAGGAGAAGTCAAAAGACAAGGAGAGAAAAGCCGGCCGCAAAGCCAAATCCAAAAAAGGGAAGGGCGCAGAGCGGAAAGAAGAAAAGCCGCGGCCAAAAGCCAAGTCAAAGTCCAGCAGCCCCAGCTATGCCGGACTCGTCTGGCCCGGAGAGCTGCAGCCGCGCAAGCGCAGGCTGGCCTCTCTCAACGCCGAGGCCGTGAACAGCCTCCTGCTGGAGAGAGCCACGGATGCCCAGCCGGCAGCCAAACAGGCCCGGAGACAAGAGGAGGCTGCCGAGGGAGGGCTTTCTCTGGATGCCGAACCGCCCAGAGGGGGTGTTGATGCGGGTCTGAAAACTTCAAGAGGGAACGTCAAACTGCCCAAGAAGCCCGAGCTGGGCCGAAGCTCAAAGCAGAGCAAGAAACCCAAAGTCAACCGGACGGATGAAAGTGTCTGGATGAGCCAGGAGTGTTTAGATGCTCCTGCCCCCAGACGGCTGGCGGGACTCAATGCAGCCGCCCTGTTGAGGTTGACCAGTTCCTCTGCCACCAGCAAACAGAGGGTGAAGGCAACGCCGACGGCCACTGTCACCTCAGACTGTGTGGCTCCTGTCATGGCTTCAGCCCTGAAGCGGCCCCCCAGGGCCAAACTGCAGCAAAAGGGAGGAATGCAAAAGCAGAGGGGGAAAAAGGGCCCGGCCCTGCCCAGCGGCTGCACAGCCTGCAGGAAGAAGGCAGATTTTGAGCCAAAGGTGGAGTGGGAGACGGGCAGCTGCACTCATCGACTGACCAAGCCAGGCTACCAGTCCCGCAGCATGCTGGCCTATCCCTTAAAGCAAGTGAAGGAGGAGCAGCTGGAGACCGAGCTGAGCCCCTACTACTGCTGTCCCTCTGAGGGCTCAGTGGAGTACTGCCACCGCCTGGCCTTCTTCCTCGGCCAGCAGCCCTACGGGGACAAAGACGATCAGCCGCTGAACTCGGCCCTGACCCCCGTCAAGCGTGAGTGCCTAGTGACCTCGCCGTCAATCACTCACTCCCACCCACACACAGCCCTCGCCCTCAGCCCCCACCCGTGCCTCTGCACGGCCGAGCACTGCTTCTCCAGCTACTACGTCCACATCGCCCACCCGACGCACGCCGGAGCGTCGTCGGCCGCCCTGGCCTCGCCGCCCCTCAGCTACCCGCCCTCCGGCCTGTGCTCCAGCCGCGTGGCCGGCTCAAAGCTGCTGGGGCGGCAGGTGCCCCATCCCACAGGGTTGCCGCACACGGCCTACTGCAACTCGGTCACGGCGCCGTGTTACGGGGATGCGTGTGGAATGGGCGGCTACGCCTACAGGGCCATGCCTCCGGTCACAAGCCGAGGTTGTTCCTACAGTGCGGGGTGCACTGGATGCACACACGGCATCAAAACAGGTGAGACGGACATTTAAACCCTATTTAGCCCTATTAAATGAGCCCATTAGATCCACAAAACCCTGGGGTTCTAAGGGTGGTATGTGTTTGTCCAGGTTCTTCTTGTTTAGTGTCAGAAATTCACATCTTAAGCTTCAACTAGAGACATTTTTACCAGTCACAAATGCGCACTAACTTTAACGCTCCTCTGGTGGGAAAACTTATTTTGCTTTGGATTGTTTAAGATTGTGGAGATATGCTTCTTATGGGGCCCGTTCAGAGTAGCTGATGGCTAAGCTCCCTGTCGGAATTGGATTTAAAGCTGAAGCAAACTTCAAGTTGCAGCCATGAGTTTCACAGAGACATGATTAGTCATGATTAAAAATTCCAGACCTTTGCTGTTGCTTCCAGGGTCTGAATTAAGGGTATCCAGGGTTCATGATTTCTGTAGCTTTGGTCCTCTAAATGCAAAGACAGTTTTAAAGTTTACATCCACTCATAAAGTCAGCGGTTGATAAGTGTGACTGTCTGTAAAGTTTAACTACACGTAAACCAGACTTGTCACTATTAACTCAACCAAATGTCTTTGGCCATCCGACTACACAAGAAGAGTTGTGTGTTTATTTAAAATTGCTATAATATTTTTAAGTAAGCCATGGCGCCATTGTGGACCTTTTTCTGACAAACTTTAGATATTTAACTGGAATCTCCTCACAGAGGCATCAAGATGTTATTCAGATCAGTTAATGTAGCCCAGAGGAACTAATTAAACCGGACCTGCTTAAAAAAAGGGCCAACAAAAATAGAATACCCGTGTACCCCAGCAAATTGGTTGCCTCCTTCTCGCTCTTTTTATTTTTACAATCCTTTACCTGGAGCAACCTTTGTAAATGATATGCCTGTGTCACCTAACAAGTGCGAACCTCTCCTCGCTGCGCTGCCCCTTTGTTGTTAGCTCGGGCTTTGAAAGATTCCACAGCCTGAAGGGGCTATCTTAGATTTACCTTGATTAGGCGCTGCTGGTATAATTCCTTTACCATAAGAAATGCGTTGCATAGAGGCATAAAGTTCGGCAGATGAAGAAGATTAAATGAAGGAGGCTCCAGGGGAGCGGTGTAATTGCTCATTGAAAGTCGGTTCCGGTTTTGTGGAACAGGAACAAATGGATGTGGTTAATATTAGCTACTGTAGTATACAAGTCGTCCACCAACTATGTAGAGAGGATTCTGTTGCTTTGCTCTGTCCTGAAGTGCTTTTTCTCCCCTTTTTTCCCTTTTCCAGAGACTTACTCCTCCCCTCAGGGTGACCACAGCCCCTCCCTTCTGGTTCCCCCAACCATGCCCATCTCCACATGCCCCCTGTCCAGCGCTCCCACTTCCACCCAGACTAAAGCCCACCTGCTGACGTCCCTGTCTGGGCGCCGCCAGCCCCAGGACAGGTTAAAGCTAGCCAAGGAATGCCCGCAGAAGGCCAAGGCCTCCAATGGCTCCCTGTCGGTGGGCCGCACTCGGCTGCCGGCGAAACAGGCCTCGCCGCTGCCCAGCTTCGGCAGCAGCAAGCAGAAGAAGATCAACCGCAGGCGCGCCACCAACGGCTGGCGGCCCGTGGGCCGGCCCACAGAGAGGGAGGTCTTCATAGCGGTAAGTCAGTAAGATGGAAAAAACATAAAGGTGAAAAAAAAAATCATCTCTTTTGAGAGAAAGTTCATAGTGTTTTGGAGTGTAAATCTGACTTTGCGTGTGTGCGTGGGCGTGCCAGGGAGAGGATGAGACGGCCCTGCGGCAGTGCTACGAAGGAGTCGAGAGGGACGGCGAGGTGATACACGTCAGAGACACAGTGCTGCTCCGGTCCGGCCCCCGGAAAAAATCCCTCCCATATGTGGCCAAGATATCAGCTCTGTGGGAGGACCCCAAAACAGGTAAGACATTTCTTTTTTTAAAAGACTGATAAGAGGAATAAGGATTTGGTGTGTGTGGCCGAGGTGGTTTACCTGTATGTGTGTTTCTCTGCGCGGCCTCAGGAGAGCTGATGATGAGCCTTTTCTGGTACTACAGACCCGAGCACACCCAGGGAGGCCGAGATCCCAGCACACACTGTGAGGTGAGGATCAAACGGATGGCAGGAAAACATGTATTTTTCTCAATAGCTATGGCAGCTGCATTGCAAACTGTGTCTAACAAATCCATTTTTCCAAGCTAGACAACTTTACAGCATTATGGTTCTTTTTTTTTTTCCTGCGTTAGTGTACAGTAATATAAATCTCCCAAAGTTGTCACCAGAGACACCACGTTGTGAAGTAATGTGCGAGGAGGACTGCTTGTTTGTGCTCAGTAAGGCCGTCACAGACCGCTGCTGCAGACATCATTATCTCCCTCAGCAGCCCTGAAACTGTTGATCGTCTAACCACAATGCCAGAAATGATGGTATCTCTCCGACCTCAGCCTTGCAACAAACAAAGGCTTGAGCGGTGAGGAGGGGCGGTATCAGAATTTTCTCTGCTAGAAAAAGCCTGAGACGTGCTTACAGCGGGAGCAGAGTCGAGCAGGATTTTCTTTTTGTGGTGGCTCATAACGTGAAAAAAAAGAAAAAAAAGTCTCACAGTTGTAAAGTGTTGCCATTTCTTCGGCTGCCATTCAGCGCGATGGGAAACTTCTGATGATGTGACACTTGAACACCCACTGTCTGTTTCAGAATGAGATTTTCGCCTCTCGGCATCAGGATGAAAATAGCGTTGCCTGCATAGAAGACAGATGCTACGTTCTCCCATTAGCTCAGTACTGTAGGTAAGTAGGCCTCTGCTTTCCTGTGCCCTCCCTCGCTTGGTGGAAATGTGCCCAGAGATCCTTTTCTGATATTATTTATTGTTTTCAAACCAGATTTTGTGCCTTGGTGAAGCGGCGTGCAGAAGGCGCCCCTCCTGGCAGTGCCAGCATGGTGCCCTTCCGCCCTGATTTCGCCCCCCCTTCCCACCGCTGTGTGCCCACAGACGTCGACCCCGAGCTGGTGTACCTCTGCCGGCACGTCTACGACTTCCGCTACGGACGCATCCTGAAGAACCTGCAGTAGGGAGGGGAAGGCTGCCGCTCTTCTGAATCCCACCACGGCGCTCTGCCTCTTGCACAGAGGATGGAGGAGGAGGGGGGAAGGGGGGGGGGGGTGCCCTGAAGGACTGAGCACCCCCTGTGTTTGTTTGCTTTTTTTTGGTTTGGAAAGGGAATGATGGTCTAGGTTTAAGTTTTTTGCAAACTACATGAGTGACTTGATGAAGCACAAATCCCTTTATTTGACCACCAAGGGGGTTAGAATGGGGCAGTCAGAGCACAGATCATTCGCTGGTTCAGAAGAGCAAAAGGCTGGAAAATAAATCAATCATCCGGGCCTGCGCTCTTGGCTCGGTATTAATAGTCCTCCATCAGCCATGATCAAGTTAATGGAGAGGGCCACCTTATTTCCACTGACAAGATTGTTTTTTTTTTTTTGTTGTTTTAAGCCTTTTCCTGCGTGTGTGCTTTTCGGGAAGCTTTTAGGCAATCAAACCAAACAAACAACTTCAGATGAAGTGGAGCTCTCTCTTTCTGTCTCGTCTCCTGACACCAAGCCGGCACATTTTCATTCGGAGCAGCGCTCTCTTCAGACTGAAACGCTGCCTCCCTTCACACACTTGAGTGGAGAGCAGGGCTTCTCCCATTTTCACCCGTAAGACCGCTCGTAATTGACTTAACGAGTGAAGAAGCCCAAGCATAAATTTCCTTTGATCTCAGACAGATACGTGTTGTTTAACCGATCATTTATCACCTTTACTGCTCCCAGTGACTAGCCTGTTGACTTTCAGGCAGCCCGCCTCGCCGCATTAAACCAAGAAGGAGCCAAATGGGCGTGTCTGTAATCGCTGGGGGGAGGGGGGGGTATCTATGGGTGTCAGCCAGCCAATGATGCTCAATATTCTTACTGATAAATGTGAAAACAGAGCAGACTGCAAACGTTTTTTGTGAGGTGGAAAAGCACCTAGTTTGAAGCCGCAGAACTCGGCAGTGTTCTGTATCCCCCCCCCCCCTCAAAATAGCAGACGTTCGTTTCCTAGATTCTCCAGCATGCAGCTGTGAAATAGTCTGTGGACGTTTCTCACAGTTCTGGAGCAGTTCTGGTCCTGCTCCTCTCCTGGTTAATATCTGCTATCATTTTCTGTCCAGGTCCTCTCGTTTCCACCCAGCCAAGACGAACCAAAGTAAATCACACAAACCAGAATCCCCCCTCCACCCTCGCGCTTCTCCTCCTCATCACTTGATCCCCTGTTGTATTGCACTAAGCCATTCCTTATTTACAAAAGTGGTAAACCTTTCTCTTTTTTTGTGGCGAATGATGGATGCTGCTGTTTATCATCCATTTGTGTGATTTGTTCCCTTTTTGTGAAGGGAGCGGTAGGGACGTCACGGCTGCTTTGGTCACTGCAAACTGTATGTTTCTGTTAGTTCAGCAGGAGAGAAATCCTCCAGCCTGTTTATCATGTTACCTGATGCTCCACCTGTCGGGTCCCATGCAAAATATACAGGCTGTATAGATGTGTAGAACTACAGTCATTCCATTTGTTTTTGTTTTTTAATCAGCTGGGTCATATTCACATAAATATATATATAGTATATATTTATTATCTATCTATCCAAAGTGTTAAAGTGAGTAGTTTGAGAGGAGGCCTTGGGTTGGAGGCCTGAGTCGTAGCACAGTTACACAGCACGTGTTTGGATCAAGGGGGGGTGGGGGGGTATTTTTGTACTTTAAACGGAGCCTGTGGTTGATTTCTAAAACTGCGCTCTCCCATTGCCTTTTTAACCTGCAAGTGTTTTGCTGTCACCCGAGTAGTGTCAGGTAGTGTATACCTTTAAGGAATATAAAGAGTCCCTGATTGCTTTTGCCATTTCATCCCACACGAGGAGCTGTAAACGTTTTCCAAATACTAAAGCCATCTTTAAATCCTATCCTAAATTAAATCCTGAACATTGAGCTCTTTTTTTTTTTCTTTATTTGATTATTGTTTAAATCTATTTATCCCAATAGAGAGGACAAAGGTAATATATATTCTCCTACTTTAAAATTTAGCCTTCTTAATATTTTATGTCAATTTCCTGATGGCATATGCAATATATTTTTAGACTGACCTATTTTTGGAAAATAAGCGTAACAAATCAAGGCAAGAATATGCATTATATGAGCTTGATTTCAGGTTTGTTTCAAATCACCGCGGCATAAATTAAGATTTGACCAAATGTAAGATCATGAAGGGACCCGATGCCGTGGCACGACTGGAGGGTTTTGGATGAGGCAGGGCGAAACACCCTCCAAGCTAACTTCTAATGAAGTGTACATATCTGAATCCAGGAAGCACCAGGCACTCTAAGTAGTCCAGAGTGGGGTTTTTTTTGTAGTTTTTTTTTTTGCAAGATCTGTGATGATTATATTTAAAGTTAGAAAAAGATATTTAAATGGAGAAAGCGATTAAATATATTAGAACTTTCACTTTTAACTTATTTGGAAAAAGCTGTATCTAATTGATGAGCTATATCCTGTGTTTGTTTGTTATTCTGTTCCAGGATAGAAATGATTTGTACATGTAATGTAAGAGTTTAGAGAATCAAGGAGGCTGATGGGAGAGATGTAACTGTTTGTCATTTTCCATGTGGTGGGGGTGGAGACCAGACCGAACGCCCCCCCCCCCCCCCCCAGCCGACAGCTGAGCAGAGGTGCTCTGACTGAGGCTGAAAAAGTCTGAGCTGAGAGCCGCCGGCCGCTGACCTTAAAGTGTGCCGGTGGGGAGAATGGCACCACGGCACTTGAGTCCTCATCGATTTGCCCAATCAGGAAAGAGAGGAGCGGCATACCTAGGACAGGACTTAAGGGGACGGGGCGTCCTACGAGCTTCAGGGTAGAGGATCTCCTCAGATTCAGGGCCAAGAGCAGCTCTCCCCTCTCGAGATTGAAACCTGCATTATAGAAGGCCAAGTGTCAGGTTTAGGGATTGTGTTGAAACGATTGGTCCGTGTTAAAAATAGAACGCTCGCTCTCTGTTTTGCAGTGCTTGCTGTAGATGTCGTAGATCAAATTCAGGATTGGCCGTTCAGCTTCTCCCTTCAATGCATGTCTGCTGGCCTCTGTTGTCCTCCTCCCACGCGTACATTGATCCCTTTGACCCCTGGTGGGAGACATCATGCAGGAACGTCCCGGAAAAGCGTTCTAGGAAAGCTAGCTAAGCCGGGCGTTATTCTCCCCAGGTGAAAGGCCAGCCCCACCAAGAGCGCCGGCTAGTTTGCGAGTTAGCGTTTACATGCATGGCTGTAGTTGCATCCCCTCATTTCCACCATAAGGCTGGGGTGGCTCTCGGAAAGCTCCTGTGCACTCTTTGGCGTCCACAGTGGCAGAGATGAAACACTGAGTAACCTTTACTGCTGCCTCACAGGAGGCTGGTTGATTTTTCAGAGTGTGTATGTGTGTGTGTGTGTATAGGAGTGTGTGTGTGTGGGAGAGAGGGAGTGCTCACACAGTTAAACAGGAGCACCCGACCAACCTGTGAGATTCTGCTTTTTCTGTGGCCTGTATTAATGCTTATTGTTGGCATATATTTTGATATATTTGGGGGAAAAAATGGGGGATAGACATTAGATATTTTTAAAGTAGAAAGAAATGTGTGTGTCAGATTACTGTCACTTTGTCATGCTCTTTAAAGATGTCTTTTTTTTGTCAAAGAATTCTATATCATCCCCACTGATTTAATGTACTGTTGAGAGAATATTTATAAATTTTAAAATCCTTTGTGAAGTCCTTTGAGTCTGAGGGTTTTATTACACATTCCTTCTTGACTATTCATTGTAGACCTCAGGTTGTAAATGATAGATTGAGTTCACGTTCACCTCAGTTTTTTTTTTTATTCCTCTGGTAACATTGAAAGAATTCCTCATGTGTGAGCGAAAGGAGAGACAGGCCCACTGCATGCGACTGGAAGCAGGTTAGACGTTTCTCCATCAATCCGCTGTAATGGTGCTAATGTCCACAGGAGGTCAGCAGTGAGACACCAGCTTGGATCGGGGTCAAATACTCATCCCAACCTCGATGTTTTCGGTTTTAATCAGACCACAAAGCCTAAGATTATCCGTCCATCTGAATAAACCAGGAGAAAGGTTGCAACCTCCTCTGCCCGTATTTCCTCTCTTCCCCCTCGTTTAGCATCATCATTATGTGCCTTTGGCCTCCATCCCTGTCCGGGTCTCAGAGAATATTTGGCATAGGTACTGGCCACATTGCGGGGCCTTGCTATCTTCCACAGGGATGATGGCAGCAGAAGCAGATATTAAGAGTTTCATCATTATTTAAACAGTCATGCTGGGCGATGTGGGAGATCTGTCGAGTGCTCCAACTTAGTTGGCCCGAAACACTCTTTGTGCAATTTATGTCGTATTTTACTCTTTAGAGCGCATGGTGCTCCATCCCCTCATGTGCGTCCGTGCCTTCTCATGGAGCACACAGGTTAATAGACGCTGAGTACCCTTAACACAATGATGCAGTGTTTCTCAACCAGGAGGAGACATGAGCGGAGTCAAGGACCCGGGTGGGGGGGTAAAGCATTCACCAGAACGGAGACTCTGTGCTCTAAATGTTAATGTCGATATTGCTTGGTCAATTTAAAGAGGGCAATAAGACCTCCCCCCCCCCCCCCTTTTTAGGTAGATCCTGAGAATTCTCAGTGCACCATACATTTTTTCACATAAATCTTCTTGCCAGTGGGGGAAAAAAAAAACTGTGTCTGTCAAACTGTTGTCCTGGACATTTTTCACTGATTCGACCAAAGAAGTAGGATCAAATTCCTGAGACTCCGCTCAGCCGTCCAAAACCCCCAATCCCACAGAAGTAGTCGGTTACAGGGACTGAATTGAAATTGAGATGTACGTTTGAAAAATTTCCAAAGCAAGTCTTTTAAAAAACCGTGCGGAGAACCAAACACCGAGATTGCAAACAAGTTAGGATGTAGAACCTAAAGATGAAAGCTGGCTGAAGACTTTTGCATTACAGTGTCTGATTAGACGGTTTTGGCCCATGATTAAACAGCCTTCAGTTTGAACTATGACACCTAACCTCATTCATGCTTTTGGATCATTACTCTTTCCTGTCTGTGTCTTTTCTGTTCTTTGTTTTCTCCAACGTTGTTCTGACAACAGACTATTTGAACCATGTCTGATGATGTGTGATGATCTCAAAATTCCTTTTTGTTTAATTTTGGTCTGTGGCTTTATTGATTTATTGATTTTTTGGGGTTTTTATTGTTTTGCATTCTGGGGAAAGGTATCACTTCTTTTATGATGCAGGAGGCTTTGACAGATCAGCAAATGGAAGCATCTGTTGGAGACAGAATCCAGCGAACTGCAGCACAGACAAAACGCCAGCTTACCCCAACACAATCTACCCCTGTGTCTTTCTCTGTAGGTCTAATTACCACGTCCGGCTTATTGTTCCCTTGATGACCATAATTAATCAAGTTCTGCTCCCTAATCTCTGAATCTCATCATCCTTACAGTACACCGGGGCTGACCACACCGGATGGCAGCCTGAGGTAAGCTCTTTTGGGGAGTGTAACGGTGTGCTTGGTTGCAACTTTGTGTACAACAACATATTGCTGGGGCCCACCATGCTGTGTGTTGGTGTGCTTTTTTTTTGGTTTAGTTTTTTTTTTTCAGAATACTGTTTTTACTCCTGGTATGAGCCAGTAATTGTCACTCGACTTAGATTCTTTTTTTTTTTTTAATTAGGAGCGGTGGCTTCATGTTTTGGAACACTTGTTCTCAAAGACATGTCCACCAGAGAGACAGAAGAGTCCTCTCATTGTCCTGTCCTCCCGTGAGCTTCGGATGGCTTACCGGCTCCTTAATCTGCCTTCTGAGTGACATCACCCTCACACGCCTTCCAGAGCATTAAGCGAGGGAGGGAAAGCAGGAGGCAGTGGTCACTACTTGACCAGTGAAGGTAAGGGAGGCTCATTCAGCGCAAACAAGGCCATGGCTACGGGCGCGGTGGAGGGGGACGCACACATGGAGGAGCTGGTCGACCACGGCCTAGGGATGGAGGAGACGGCCCACGGCCTTCTGCGGAGACCCTCACTGAAGGAGACCTACCACAGTGACTGCCTCCTGGCACCAGACACTGACTTTATGACAGGTAGAGTGCTTCTGAGGGCTGAACGGAACTCCATGGGTAGAGTTTGGGTAGTTTCTGCTTCCACCGCTGTAGCATTGACAGGATTTTGGTTGATTTTGGTCAGAATACAAGTTCTCGCACTTGATTAGAGCAAGTGACAAAAGTATTAGATATTTTAAAGTGTTGCTGATGCAATAAATATAAAGAAGGATCCATAGTTGTGGTGAATTCATGGTTTGGAATTACCTTTAAAGTAGGAAAACGGCCACACTCGGTTTATGACTTTTTCCAAAAAGAATATCTAATAAAGAATTGTTCTCTCTCCGGCAGCTATCGTTACAAGCATGAAATTGACATATTTTCTCCTTTTGTGCCATTTGGGATGATAAATTGTCAAATTTCGTTTAAGGTCACAGATATATTGACTGGAGACAAACAATCTACAGGCCGTTTTGGCTACCAAACAAGATAAATCCTAAAGATTATACCCTTTTGAAGGGTAAAAAAAACCCAATAAGCCATTTTTGTAAAAACTGTGGGTGTTGCAGAACCCTCTCATCTGAAGAGGGACACATCCGTCCCCCTGGGGACATAGATGTCAGGTGCATACCTACCCTGCGAGTGCTGATGCTGGCCGGTCGTTCAAGAGACACCATCTGCAGGCTGAGATTAAAACACTCCACACGGCTCAGCGTGCCGCAGCCACGCCTTAATGTATTTTGACTTTGCAACATAACAGATTTATGAATTCTAAAAAAAAATGACTCTGTGGACTTCTGCAAAGGTGTGACTGAGAGCACCTGTGTGTTTGCAATAGCAGAAAATGCACCTGTGAGGTGCCTGTCTATTCTTAGTGAAGCTCAGTTAGTGTGGACAGCGAGCAATGGCTCTGCTAATTCTCTTTTACAGCACCAGGATTATGTGCTATTCTAATCCCAATCCCATATGGAGTGTGTGGAGGTGGCAAGAGGATGATGTCACAGCCAGGACACGAGTAGAAACAGAAGATCAAGAGCCTACACAGAATCACAACTCTCCATGAGACGCGGATTACCGCCGGCCTCATACTTGAGTGATTATGCTGAATGTGCTCGCCCCACAGCAGACCGATGCAGTTTGGAGCAGAAGCTTTATCTATGTGATTTACAGCAAGAAAGGAGATGAAAAATCAATTTTTGAAAAGATGATTACCATCATCAAGCTAGTTTTTGGTTTCATAAACCTGAATTCTGCATGACACAGCTGTCCAATAGTTTTGAAAGAAAATTCTTTCTCAAAAATGTTGTTTTTCATCATTATTTGTAGGGATTCTTAAGTTTTTCAGGGCTGCTAACTGTAGCTGCCTTCTAGCTACTAATTTGACACGAGCAAACAGGCCGCAATTAGTTACCATTGTAAGCTATAACTTTGTGTTCCTTTTATCAGCCAATTATTAACTACATCATATATGTAGGTGAAAGCTAACCAAAACATCCAAAAGGATACATTTTCTCAATTCCAGTATAATGTGGTATATTTATATTTATAGACAAATTTTCAGTAGTCATTGGGATATCAAACTTAATACTTCATGACTTGTTTATCCTAACATGCTATTTGATATACGGTACAGATGTTTCAATGGGAGGCGGCACGGTGGTGTGGTGGTTAGCACTGTCGCCTCCCAGCAAGAAGGTTCTGGGTTCGAATCCTGGGGGAACCAGGGCCTTTCTGGGTGGAGTTTGCATGTTCTCCCTGTGTCTGCGTGGGTTCTCTCCGGGTTCTCCGGCTTCCTCCCACAGTCCAAAAACCTGCATGTTAGGCTGATTGGAGATTGGGGAAATTGCCCTTGGGAGTGAATGTGAATGTGAGTGTGAGTGGTTGTTTGTCCTTGTGTGTGGCCCTGCGATGGACTGGCGGACTGTCCAGGGTGTACCCTGCCTCTCGCCCGTTGACCACTGGGATAGGCTCCAGTTCCCCCCGCGACCCCATGAGGGAATAAGCGGTATTGATAATGGATGGATGGATGGATGTTTCAATGGGATAATAAGGATATTTTCTCATGTTTCAGCATTTTTTTAGTGCTGCAAGACTCCACGGCATGCAGTTGTGTGAAAAAAACAAACATATTGCACCATTTCTTCTGGTGTTTGACAGCATCAGCAAAAAGTGAGAGAATGTGTTAGAAATACCTACGATAAATCAGGATAGGAAAAACAGAGCTCAGATATTTCAATATATTCAGTATTGATAAAATGTTAGTGCTGTTTTGGCATTTTAAAGTTCTTCAGGAGGGACACTTCAAGGATCTGACATCAGAGGGTTCAAACTATAAAAGTGTAATAATTCAATTTACAATAACCAAAGTCATGTATTTTGCCTTGGGTAAAAATGTGGCCGTTGTTGATATAAAATTTTGGGTGATGAGACGCAAATCCATTTTCTGTAGTTTATTTTCTTTCTTTTTTCCTCACTTTTAGCTATTGTATTTCTCATCCCATTGCAAATTCTCATTGTTTTGTTTTCACTCCTGTCAGCTACAAACATGGATTAGTTTACTCTGCCTTAGCTTCATCTTTCCAGTTACTCAAGATGCATGCTTCTGTGCAGCGCAGTCTCATGTTTCCTCCGTCTCCATCTCTTAGTGACATGGGGCTTATGTGCGGGGGCGGGGTCAAAGAGGCTCAGTCTGAGGGATTAACATTGTACTCTACTCTCCCACACGCGCATGCAAGTCCATGAACACACACAAATAAGGACAATTCAGGCTGAATTGGACGACTGCTGAGTTTTTAAGCATTAACAACCCCACCCCCACCTTAACACACACACACGCACACACCCCCTGAGCAAAAGGCTTTAAGCTCTGTCAAACACATCATTGCGTCCCAGAGTGCGCCAGGCGACAGCCAAGGAGACGTGAAGAGATCAAAACACAGCAGCCTTGCTCCCTTGCTGCTCTTGTTGTATCATTTGGATGCTGGAAACAGAACACCGGCTGGGCTGATCTGTGAGTGTGTATCTGTGTGTGAAACATCAGTGGAGCGAGGGAGATGAGATCTTAGTGGATATCAGCCAAATGAGATGGAGGGAGAGCAGGGCTATCTGATTGGAGCCAGAGGAGGAAAGAGGGGTGAAAGAGTATGCTCGCGAGAGGAGAAGAAGAGGAGGAAGACGTCTGGGTTGGTGGAATACGGTTCAAGTGGCCTGCCGAGGAAAACTGACAACTCATCAGTGTCCAGCGTCTCGCATGGTATTGGACTCCGTATCACTATCACTGTGAATGCCGGCTGTTAAAGAAAAATCAAGAAAATGATAAAAGAAAAGTGATGTCATTGTGTTCTGGGGGTGCGTTTGCACAGCATTGTTTACCTGCTGCTGTACGCTGACACTGTGGAGGATCTGCTGGGTCCAGCTGTGTCGTGACCTCATTGGCTTGATTTATGCCACACAGGCATGAATAGGGGATTTCAGAGAGCTTAACCCTTTCTGGGATGACGGCGTCGTTGGTTTTGTTTATATGGTGGTGTAAGTCAGTTGAAGGCTTTGTGATGCTTCTTGCATTTTCCTTTATCTGACAAAACATCTTGACTGAAACATTTCTCAGTGGCCAGGCCTGTCCCAACACTTATATTGGGATTTTGTATTGCATGTTTCAATGTATTGGATCTATTTGAAAGAGTTCAGAAAAGCAAACAGCTGACGTTCATCTTCCATCTTTTTTTGACAATTGAGCAACAAAGAAACCTAAAACTGTCCAAAAAGGAATTATTCATTAATTATCGATTTGAGTGGTTGAGACGAATCACAGTATTTATAAAAGTATAATACATGTGAAATCAACACAATATTGCTATTTCATTCTATTGATGTTGCAAAAAAAAAGGAACAATATTCTGATGGCTGGTAAACACTCTGTGGTTGTTTCGGGTTTGGCCGCAGAGTAGCAGCCCAACCATCTCATTGGTTATGTAATGTATTTGAAAGGCAGAACAAGATAATCCTTGCCTGGATGGAAGCCTGTTTCACTGTCTATACATTAAAGGAAGTCAAGGCTTGCATAAGCAGAGATTCATCTGGAGACAATACAGTGAAAAGAATCCGCTTCTGATGCCGCTCTTCTCCCCCCAGATGACCGCAGCTCAGCGGCCAGCGGCCTGGATGTGGCCGACCGCCTCACCTATCTGGAGCAGAGGATGCAGATGCAGGAAGATGAAATCCAGCTGTTGAAGATGGCTCTGGCTGACGTCCTTAAGCGACTGAACATCTCAGAGGAGCACCAGGCTGCTGCAGCCGCTGCAGGCAGGAGAGCGCCCGCGGCCAAAGGTGGGTTCCGAGTGTGTGTGAGCTGAAGGTGTCACCAGTGAGCTGTGGCCACCAGACGTGCACCTTACTTAATGAGAACATGTCACTAAGAGTAAAGTTAATATTCTTACTTTAGGGGGTACTAAGAAAAGCTCTCGCTTTTGAAGGAAAAACATTCTCACACTTTTCAGCACTCCTCATACTGTGAATGACATGCTCTGTTTCACTTCCTCTCTCTTGAAATCCCTCCTCCCCAAAGCCCCAAATGTGTTCTGTCCAACTGATTGATCCAAAAAGTCAAAGTGGAAGATATTTGCTCAAACTTGCTCACAATGACAGGATGAAAATGGGCAGTTCAAGTAGAGCGTTGAGTCTTTACTCGGTGTTAATGGCTTTTGTTCATTATAATTGATGGATCAAACTATATCCAAGTCTAACATTTAAATCCACAAATTAGAGCCCGAGAGAGATCTTTGAAATGTGATTATAGAAACTAAGCTTTTTGCTTGGAAGGTAAGGCCATATAGATTTGATTCTGATCTCTAAATTGATTCATTCATTTTTACAGAATCCATTTTATTGTTCATACTGAAATGCAAATACTTTATCTATATGCGGAGCTCATAGGAGGTGGAAGTCACAGCAATCAGTCTAACTACAGCCCACAGAGCAAATATCTGTATTTATAATATTCTCCTTGTGGTTCCACAGCCAGGCCTGTGTCTCTGGCCCTGCCCTCCAGACCACCCATGGTGACCTCCAATGCTGCTTCAGTCAAGAAGAGCTCCACGCTGCACTCTAGCTTCACAGCCAGGAACTACAGCCCAACACCCCCCGCAAGGTAACGCTGGACGAGTCTTAATCAGGTTTATCACACTCTTAGAATATGTTCAATCTTCCTCTATATTCATTTTAGGTTAAGTCCTTATATTGTAGGATTTTTCTAATTGAAACTGCTCTTCAGTAGCGTATCACACACACACACACACACAAAGGTTATTGTCAGGAGATTTCTTCATCCATCGCTGTGGATACTTGTCTGATCTCACAACCCCTTAGCTAAAAAGCACCCAGGGTGATGAGAAGGCTGCCAGGAATAGCTTTAATGGGAAACTGGCCCAATCACAGCGAAGCTCCTGTCTCAGATCTCAAGTTTCAAATCTCATTATCTAAGGTGCAATCAGCAGATGCTCTCCATTATCTTAGAAATGCTCAGTAATCATCCCAACATTGGCCTTTATTCCAAAGCAATAATCTCTTCCTACCAATTACCTTTGGAATGATACTGCCATTAGATGATGTTAGTCAGAAGGAATGATAGTGCCTCTCCATGGCACATTAATGCTATATCTGTGCTGTGCTGGTGTAATTGCACAGTGCACAGTAAATCTCCATTCACTTAACACTGTCTCCTCATTATTAGGATTGCAAGGAAGAATTTCCTTTAGCAGCACTGTCTCATCTTCCAGCTCTCTCATTTCCTCTTCTTTAATAGGAATATTAACTTTTTCTCACTATCCTAGTCAGTTCCTTTGTTTACATGTTCCTGTACGTTTTTTCCACCTTTTTTAAAATTTACTTTCCAGTGCTGTGAGGAGCCCACCGGGCAGCGTGAAGGACAGCCAGTGTAAGACCATTAAAGCCCGACCCATCTCTTCAGCCTCAACCAGCAAGAATGTTTCAGAGAGGTCAGAAACTATATTTAAGAATAAGTCAAGTTTTTTGTGACTGTTAGCCTGTCACAAAAAACGGTTGGTCTATTCTCATGTCCTTAGCTGAATAAGAAAAACGCCAATGGGGCATACAAAACAATAAAATCTTTGTAATCAGTAAAGGAAATTGTTGCTCTAAATGCTTACAGGCCTAAATATAGGAATGTACTATGTGCTTTTTATGGGATAAATTACCTCTAAAGTGACATATAACCACATTCTAATTGTGTATATTAACATCTCAGACCAGAGAAGGATATTCCAATTTAAATATCTTTACAGGTTTAGTCAGCCTGAAACTGATGTGCCAATGCTGCACCTGCTCTTTTTCACTTTGAGTCTCTATTCTTGTCACAGTGTCTCTAAATGTCTTTCCCTTCTGTCTCCATACAGCAGCAGCAGCAGCAAGTCAAAGGAAGCTTCAGCGAGTGCAGGTTAGAGAAGCCTCCCTCCTGTTCTGCTGCAGTCATCGTTTCATCCTAAATCTGGGAGCTCTGAAAAAGGCTGGCACTGCAAAGGGCTCGTTGGCAGCCTGGAATTGAACTACCCTCTCCCCTTTATGTGTTTTTGTAACGTTTAGGTGCCGGGACGAGGCGTGTGACGCACTGCAAAGGTAGGCTTCGCCCCTGACAATACACAATGAAGGATCCAGTCAGCTGACACTGTTGTGAGTTTTTCTTTTTTTGCTCATTCTTCATTTTCCACATCTCACCATGACTTCTGTCCCCACCCCCCTCCTCTCCTAATCTTCCCTATTCCCAATTTCTTTGTTGTCCTTTATTCTTTTAACACTATTTCCTCATTTATTTTCACTCTGTGCCCTTCACACTCCATCATATCACCCTTTTTTCTGACTCACCCTCCTCACTTCATTTCACCACTTCACTTAGTGACTATGCAGATCTATCTGAGCCCCCTCACAAGAAAGACTGGGTCTTCTGAGTCCTCCAAGTCTGCACCTCTGGTGCCGACTGACAGCGGACCCGTGGCCACGCACAGCCAGCCCCGGGTGAGCGGGGGGGGCAGGCTGGAAATGAAGAGATCCACCCCGTCCTTTACCCTAAACCTACAGAAAACCACAACCAGCCAGAGCGTACAGCAGGACACATCCAGCTACAAAAGTCCCATCAAGTCACCAAGCCAGTACTTTCAGATTTGTTATTGATGCTGACAGTTCTGAAGTGTCTGAGTCAAAAATGTATTCAAAAACAATAACTGTCCTTACAGCTGAAGCTGTGGTCTACACTAATGATCTCACTGAAACAACTCTTTTTCTTTTTTTTATTTTTACTAATAATAATGTTAGCGAGGTAGTGTTCAGCTGATGTGTTTTCCATTTCTTTACTTTGAGAATAGTGATGTTTTTAACCTCCTTGAGAGACGGCAGCATAGTTGTAGCTCCAATTTGTCACACTTTAAACTGTACACATTGTTTCCATGAATTTCCGTGTTCTCCGCTAAAGCGCCGGCCCTCTCAGAGCAGGAGCTGTCAGTTAGTCCTCAAGCGTTTGAATGTTTGAAACGAGTGAACCTTCCTCCACGTCTGTTTGCTGTGACCTGCTCATTTGTGTCTTTGATCTTAGATTCCATCAGAAAAGTGTTCATTTACATCAGGATCATGACAATAAATAACACTCCACTCATCAACAGAATGGGTTTTTCTTATGTAATCAATCATTGTGTGTGTAACAAATGTGTGTGTGTGTGTGTGTGGTTGAGATCCTGTTCGCTGTGTGCTGTACTGTCCTTGGTTGGTGTGTGTGTTTCCCTGGTTGGTGTGTGTGTTTCCTTGGTCATGGTTAAGTCCAATTGGCCCCTTGAAGAGAAAGAAGAGCACAGTCTCCGCAATGAAGCACTTCTCAGTTAATGACTTTTTAAAAAGACAGCTCACACGGGTCAAACCCACTGAACGCTTTGATGGGCAGGAAATTGCTGAGAAACGCGTGTCATGACCCCCTCTGTTGGATGAACACTGAAGTGGATCCAGGAGGAAAATACTGGCGTTACACACCTGTGGTGAAATCAACAAGACATAGTTTCCATAAAGCTGGATTCGAACTGGCTCTGCGGCAAGCTGCAGGAAAAACTTCTTATGAGGAAAAAATAAATGTGCTTGTTTAGATTGGTGCAGAGGGTGTGAGAAGCCAGTGAGCAGGAACGGGGACTTAAAACTTGTCTGAAGAGGGTGGGAACAACTGCTGCCTATCAAGCAGGAAAAGCCCAGAAATCTAACATGAGCTTGTATTCTGTTAAGTGACAAGACAACTAGAAAATTAACTTGTCTAACTTACTGGAAATTAAGTGAAAAATTGAGCAACGTAAATGGTCATTCATTCATCATCATTCATTAAGTCCTTCAATCGACCAAAAGGTTTTTTTAAACGTATTTACATATCCTAAAGTTGTTGTGTTACAAGACATGGCAGGGCAAAATCAGCGCTCAGATCAATAGCTGGGTGTTTCTGTTTGGAGTTTGACTTACCACACATAAAAATGGAACACTGGATTGACCGAACCGGACCAGCTGAGGGGGGTGTCCAGCTCATTGGCATTCATAAAGTAAAGTATTGGTAATTCAAACATTAACTGCGAAGTGGGTCAAAACAGAGTCCTACTGAAGAGCATAGGAGCAGATTTAAGAGTTCTGGGAGGCACAAATTAGTTCCCGAATAATAATAGCCCAAACAAAGAAAAACAAACAAAGAAAAAATAATTGTTTTTATTTTTAATTAAACTTTTTCATCGATGAGGCTTTTTAAATTCCCCAATAGCCTGCACTGTCGCCCCATCACCAGGGTGGGGGCGCTGTCGTGCAGCAAAACCAGGATGACATTAATGTTTCAGCAGCCCGCTCCCCTCCCCCCCCTCCCCCCTCCCAAACACGCGCGCTCCTCTCCTCTCCATCCAGCCTCCCAGTGGTTGGAGGACAGGACGGAGAAGATGGCACCTCGAAGCCGCGCAGAGCCACTCCGCCCGGCCTGTCGTCCCTCCGGAAGTGGGCCGCTTTCCTCTGAGATGGCTGCGTCCGGACCGCTGGCCGCCTGACGGACACCGAAGAAGAAGAGGTCTGAGCTGAAAACTGTGGGTCCTCGTGCGGCACCCCCCCCCCCCCCCCACACCCACCCCCCCCCCACCCCCCTCCCCCCTCCCCCCCCGCCCAAAACATCTGCACTCCTCGCCGGCTGCCGGCTGTGCTGCTCTCCGTGGAGAAATAAAAGAGAGAGAAGGCTCAGAACCAGAACCGCCGCTGCTTTTGGGCCAGAGGCGTTTTTTTCTAAGAGCCGAATTCACACGGACTTTCAGAACACTGGGAGGGAGGACAGGAAACACTGCTGGCTTCATTCAAAGGGACAGCGGAGGAATATGAGGTAAGCACAGACATTATTTCCCCCTTGTTGTAAGTTTTACGTGGCTTGAGGATAAACTGATTGAGTCATTGGCGCAGCCTGGTTTAAGAGGCCTTGTGGCGTTCACGTCCCGGCTCCACGGTGGGCGCGTCGGAGCCGGGGACCCACGGGAACACCGCCCCCACCGGCCCGCGCGTGCTCAGGGCCGTGCACAACCGGGGGGCAACTGTTAACATGACGCCAACAAATAACCCCGGCTCCAGCTTGCTTTGTCACGTGGAGGATGTCCGCAGGGCTAACAAAAAAAAAGGAGTTGTCATAGAAACCAGACAACACACCTAGAGCCGTAAAGCTGTCATCCAGGAGCCTTATTATCAGCGACACACGCTCTCGGGTTTATTGAAACGCAAAGCAATCAATGACGTTTCCGCCTCTTGAAAATGAGCGTGCGCATCGATGACATGAAACGTGCACGCGCACACACCTCCCTGCCCGACAGCCAATGGGCTCCGGGTGCTCGGCGGAGCGCGCGGGCGCAGCTGTCCCCGGGATGCAAACACTGGCTCCACTGGCTGAGGAGGCGCAGCCTATCGGGGGGAGCCTTACTGGCTGTCACCTCAACCAGCCAATCAGCGCGCAGGCTGCTGTGGCACAGATGTGGGTGAGGCTCCAGCTGCTGTCATGGGTTCCCCTAGAACAGGAGGGCTGCTTTAACACACAAATACCAGTGCTTTTCATTCTTCTAGATACAAAAAATATGAAGCTTTAGTGTTTGTGTGTGTTAAAGTTAGTGGGGGTTTTCTCCACTAATGATTCCCAAACAAATCCTGGGCTTCATCTCTCAAATCCTATAAAATATGAAAGGTTGCATCGCAATCATGTGATAGAATGCCACTTTATCATGGAGCCTGGATTTGTGTGGAGTGGCGCACACCTACACAAACACACAACAAGCCAGTCCTGTGCGGTGTGACGTGGGTCGTCTGGACCCATGTGAGCCAGCTTGTTAGGAGCAGACAAACCTCTGTTGATCTCATGGTCATTGATCTCGGCTGGTTGCTCTTTCAACCTAAATCGGAGGCAGAAGCAGCTGCTGGGCTTCTGCTCTGTAGCCGATCTGTGTCTGTTCAGCCATTCCCAACCAGGAGGAGAGTTCACACAACCTCATTGTTTTTCTTTATCAGATGCCTCAGTCTCAGTTATGTCCAGCTGTGGGTTTGCAGAAGGTGCCGAAGGTTTCTTTGGTATTAAAACCCTGGAACAAAAAGGCCTCTGTTGGCCAGGGGCTTATTCCTGAATAGTTCTCTCTCTCCTCCTCACCCGTCTCCCACTTACAAGCTGATAGATCAGAAAATGCAATGGCCTCTTTTCTAAATTCACCTTCCAGTTAGACTGCGTATCAACAGCTCTCCAACATTCTGTGCCCTTTTTCCTTAAGTGATTAGTAATGAAAGTGAATGTTGAGATGGGTCTGCACACCCAGGGTCTGCACTGATGATTGGACAGGTTGTGACGTGAATATTTTGAGAATTTCTGTCCTCAGCTGTGTG